GGACACCCCTCCCTGAGGATCAGAGGGACTGTGGACCCCCCTCCCTGAGGATCAGAGGGACTGTGGACCCCCCTCCCTGAGGATCAGAGGGACTGTGGACCCCCCTCCCTGAGGATCAGAGGGACTGTGGACCCCCCTCCCTGAGGATCAGAGGGACTGTGGACTCCCCTCCCTGAGGATCAAAGGGACTGTGGACTCCCCTCCCTGAGGATCAGAGGGACTGTGGACACCCCTCCCTGAGGATCAGAGGGACTGTGGACCCCCCTCCCTGAGGATCAAAGGGACTGGGACTCCCTCCCTGAGGATCAGAGGGACTGTGGACCCCCCTCCCTGAGGATCAAAGGGACTGTGGACTCCCCTCCCTGAGGATCAGAGGGACTGTGGACTCCCCTCCCTGAGGATCAGAGGGACTGTGGACTCCCCTCCCTGAGGATCAGAGGGACTGTGGACCCCCCTCCCTGAGGATCAGAGGGACTGTGGACCCCCCTCCCTGAGGATCAGAGGGACTGTGGACCCCCCTCCCTGAGGATCAGAGGGACTGTGGACCCCCTCCCTGAGGATCAGAGGGACCCCCCAGGAAATGCAGAAATGCACTAATAAAGGAGGGGTTAAGGCTCACTGGCCGTTTTATTCTAACTATAATATGGATTCAGTGTAAATGGTCTGGGATGTGGTGTGTGTGAATGAGTATCAGTGTGATAACCTTATGTGTGATAACCTTATGTGTGATAACCTTATGTGTGATAACCTTATGTGTGATAACCTTATGTGTGATAACCTTATGTGTGATAACCTTATGTGTGATAACCTTATGTGTGATAACCTTATGTGTGATAACCTTATGTGTGATAACCTTATGTGTGATAACCTTATGTGTGATAACCTTATGTGTGATAACCTTATGTGTGATATAACCTTATGTGTGATAACCTCATGTGTGATAACCTTATGTGTGATAACCTTATGTGTGATAACCTTATGTGTGATAACCTTATGTGTGATAACCTTATGTGTGATAACCTTATGTGTGATAACCTTATGTGTGATAACCTCATGTGTGATAACCTTATGTGTGATAACCTTATGTGTGATAACCTTATGTGTGATAACCTTATGTGTGATAACCTTATGTGTGATAACCTTATGTGTCATAACCTTATGTGTGATAACCTCATGTGTGATAACCTTATGTGTGATAACCTCATGTGTGATAACCTTATGTGTGATAACCTTATGTGTGATAACCTCATGTGTGATAACCTTATGTGTGATAACCTTATGTGTGATAACCTTATGTGTCATAACCTTATGTGTGATAACCTTATGTGTGATAACCTTATGTGTGATAACCTTATGTGTGATAACCTTATGTGTGATAACCTTATGTGTGATAACCTCATGTGTGATAACCTTATGTGTGATAACCTTATGTGTGATAACCTTATGTGTGATAACCTTATGTGTGATAACCTTATGTGTGATAACCTTATGTGTGATAACCTTATGTGTGATAACCTTATGTGTGATAACCTTATGTGTGATAACCTTATGTGTGATAACCTTATGTGTGATAACCTCATGTGTGATAACCTTATGTGTGATAACCTTATGTGTGATAACCTTATGTGTGATAACCTTATGTGTGATAACCTTATGTGTGATAACCTTATGTGTGATAACCTTATGTGTGATAACCTTATGTGTGATAACCTTATGTGTGATAACCTTATGTGTGATAACCTTATGTGTGATAACCTTATGGGTAAAAGTGTAGAGTGGAGTGCAGGCCCAGACCAATGGACAGGTCCAGGTGTCTGCCGTCTGAGAGAGAGAGAGTGCTGCCTGGGACGCCCCTCTTAAAGTCCCAGCGCAGACACTCGGCCAATCCAACCCTGCACACAAGAATGTTAGAGCGAGGGGAGGAGTGCACACTTCCCATACCTGGGTTAGACAATAACAATACAATAAAGGAATCTCATGTGTAAATAAATATATGGAAACATGTTATTGATCTATTGTGAATAAACAGAGTCCACAAAGTTTCTTCTTCTGTGGAAGTGACTGACGTCTGTCCTCAATGATACGATTCTTCTTCTGTGGAAGTGACTGACGTCTGTCCTCAATGATACGATTCTTCTTCTGTGGAAGTGACTGACGTCTGTCCTCAATGATACGATTCTTCTTCTGTGGAAGTGACTGACGTCTGTCCGCAGCTCGCAGCGGGTATCGGATTCAGGTGGATCCGGACGGAAACGCCACCAGAGCCATTTACTACATGGAGAGAGAACTGGCCAACCTCGACCCAACCCGACCGGGAAACTACAACCGCAGTGAGACACACGCAACAGACACACACAGCCGCAGTGAGAGACACACAACAGACACACACACACAACAGACACACACTTAACAACGTTTAATAAACAGTCAGAGAAGTCTGTGTTTTCGTTCATAATTTAGAGTAAATGAACTTAAAAACAAATTTCTCTGAGCTTCCTGTTGTAATGACTGGACTCACTGTGTGTGTGTGTGTGTGTGTGTGTGTGTGTGTGTGTGTGTGTGTGTGTGTGTGTGTGTGTGTTACAGTGGACACCATGAGTGAGGTGAGTTCTCTTCATGACAGAGGTCGTGCGCCTGCTCAGTATGATCAGGACGAGGCCATGAGCACCATCAGCAGCGTGTCTCAGCATGTGCACCGTCGCCCTGACGACCGTCCCCTGACGACCGTCGCCCTGACGACCGTCGCCCTGACGACCGTCGCCTTGACGACCGTCGCCCTGACGACCGTCGCCCTGACGACCGGCGACGGTCGTCAGGGCGACGGTCGTCAGGGCGACGCGTGCACATGCTGAGCACACGCTGCTGATGGTGCTCATGCCTCGTCCTGATCATACTGAGCAGGCGCACGACCTCTGTCATGAAGAGAACTCACCCTCACATGCATGGTGTCCCACTGTAACACACACACACACACACACACACACACACACACACACACACACACACACACACACACACACAGTGAGTCCAGTCATTACAACAGGGAAGCTCAGAGAAATTTGTTTTTAAGTTCATTTACTCTAAATTATGAACGAAAACACAGACTTCTCTGACTGTTTATTAATACGTTGTTAAGTGGTGTGTCGTTGTGTGTGTGTGTCTGTTGTGTGTCTCTCACTGCGGCTGTGTGGGTGTCTGTTGCGTGTGTCTCACTGCGGTTGTAGTTTCCCGTCGGGTTGGGGTCGAGGTTGGCCAGTTCTCTCTCCATGTAGTAAATGGCTCTGGTGGCGTTTCCGTCCGGATCCACCTGAATCCGATACCCGCTGGCGAGCTGCGGACAGACGTCAGTCCACTTCCACAGAAGAAGAATCGTATCATTGAGGACAGACGTCAGTCACTTCCACAGAAGAAGAATCGTATCATTGAGGACAGACCGTCTAGTCACTTCACAGAAGAAGAATCGAATCATTGAGGACAGGACGTCAGTCACTTCCACAGAAGAAGAAACTTTGTGGACTCTGTTTTTTCACAATAGATCCATAACATGTTTCCATATATTTATTTACACATGAGATTCCTTTATTGTATTGTTATTGTCTAACCCAGGTAAATGGGGAAGTGTGCACTCCTCCCCCCTCGCTCTAACTATTCTTGTGTGCAGGGTTGGATTGCCCGAGTGTCTGCGCTGGGACTTTAAGAGGGGCGTCCCAGGCAGCACTCTCTCTCTCTCAGACGGCAGACACCTGGACCTGTCCATTGGTCTGGGCCTGCACTCCACTCTACACATTTTACCCCATAAGGTTTATCACACATAAGGTTATCATAACACATAAGGTTTATCACACATAAGGTTATCACACATAAGGTTATCACACATAAGGTTATCACACATAAGGTTATCACACATAAGGTTATCACACATAAGGTTATCACACATTAAGGTTTATCACACATAAGGTTATCACACATAAGGTTATCACACATGAGGTTATCACACATAAGTTATCACACATAAGGTTAATCACACATAAGGTTATCACACATAAGGTTATCACACATAAGGTTATCACACATTAGGTTATCACACATAAGGTATCACACATAGGTTATCACACATAAGGTTATCACACATAAGGTTATCACACATAAGGTTATCACACATGAGGTTATCACACATAAGGTTATCACACCATAAGGTTATCACACATAAGGTTATCACACATTAGGTTATCACACATAAGGTTATCACACTCATAAGGTTATGACACATAAGTTATCACACATAAGGGTTATCACACATAAGGTTATCAACAACATAGGTTATCACACTATAAGGTTATCACACATAAGGTTATCACACATGAGGTTATCACACATAAGGTTATTCACACATGAGGTTATCACACATAAGGTTATGACACATAAGGTTATCACACATAAGGTTATCACACATAAGGTTATCACAACATAAGGTTATCACACATAAGGTTATCACACATAAGGTTATCACACCATGAGGTTATCACACATAAGGTTATCACACATAAGGTTATCACACATATGGTTATCACACATAAGGTTATCACACATAAGGTTATCACACATAAGGTTATCACACATAAGGTTATCACACATGAGGTTATCACACATAAGGTTACACATAAGGTTTTCACACATAAGGTTATCACACATAAGGTTATCACACATAGGTTATCATCACACTTACAGGTGATTCACCTATATGGTTATCACACATAAGGTTATCCACACTAAAGGTTATCACACATAAGGTTATCACACATAAGGTTATCACACATAAGGTTATATCACACATAAGGTTATCACACATAAGGTTATCACACATAAGGTTATCACACATAAGGTTATCACACATAAGGTTATCACACATAGGTTATCACACTGATACTCATTCACACACACCACATCCCAGACCATTTACACTGAATCCATATTATAGTTAGAATAAAACGGCCAGTGAGCCTTAAACCCCTCCTTTATTAGTGCATTTCTGCATTTCCTGGGGGTCTGCATTCCTGGGGGGGGGTCCACCCTCTGATCCTCAGGGAGGGGGGTCCACAGTCCCTCTGATACCTCAGGGAGGGGAGTCCACAGTCCCTCTGGATCCTCAGGGAGGGGAGTCCACAGTCCCTCTGATCCTCGAGGGAGGGAGTCCACAGTCCCTTTGATTCCTCAGGGAGGGGGTCCACCAGTCCCTCTGATCCTCAGGGGAGGGGAGTCCACAGTCCCTTTGATCCTCAGGGAGGGGGGTCCAGGCAGTCCCTCTGATCCTCAGGGAGGGGTGTCCACAGTCCCTCTGATCCTCAGGGAGGGGAGTCCACAGTCCCTTTGATCCTCAGGGAGGGAGTCACAGTCCCTCTGATCCTCAGGGAGGGGGGTCCACAGTCCCTCTGATCCTCAGGGAGGGGGGTCCACAGTCCCCTGATTCCTCAGGGAGGGGGGTCCCACAGGCCCTCTGATCCTCAGGGAGGGGGTGTCCACAGTCCCTCTGATCCTCAGGGAGGGGTGTCCACAGTCCCTCTGATCCTCAGGGAGGGGAGTCCACAGTCCCTTTGATCCTCGAGGGAGGGGGGTCCACAGTCCCTTTGATCCTCAGGGAGGGGGGTCCACAGTCCCTCTGATCCTCAGGGAGGGGGGTCCACAGTCCCTCTGATCCTCAGGGAGGGGGGTCCACAGTCCCTCTGATCCTCAGGGAGGGGTGTCCACAGTCCCTCTGATCCTCAGGGAGGGGGTCCACAGTCCCTCTGATCCTCAGGGAGGGGGGTCCACAGTCCCTCTGATCCTCAGGGAGGGGGGTCCACAGTCCCTCTGATCCTCAGGGAGGGGGGTCCACAGTCCCTCTGATCCTCAGGGAGGGGGGTCCACAGTCCCCTCTGATCCTCAGGGAGGGAGTCCACAGTCCCTCTGATCCTCAGGGAGGGGGGTCCACAGTCCCTCTGATCCTCAGGGAGGGGAGTCCACAGTCCCTCTGATCCTCAGGGAGGGGAGTCCACAGTCCCTTTGATCCTCAGGGAGGGGGGTCCACAGTCCCCCTGATCCTCAGGGAGGGGTGTCCACAGTCCCTCTGATCCTCAGGGAGGGGAGTCCTCAGTCCCTTTGATCCTCAGGGAGGGGAGTCCACAGTCCCTCTGATCCTCAGGGAGGGGGTCCACAGTCCCTTTGATCCTCAGGGAGGGGGGGTCCACAGTCCCTCTGATCCTCAGGGAGGGGGTCCCACAGTCCCTCTGGTATCCTCAGGGAGGGGGGTCCACAGTCCCTCTGATCCTCAGAGAGGGGTGTCCACAGTCCCTCTGATCCTCAGGGAGGGAGTCCACAGTCCCTTTGATTCCTCAGGGAGGGGGGTCCACAGTCCCTTTGATCCTCAGGGAGGGGGGTCCACAGTCCCTCTGATCCTCAGGGAGGGGGGTCCACAGTCCCTCTGATCCTCAGGGAGGGGGTCCCCACAGTCCCTCTGATCCTCAGGGAGGGGTGTCCACAGTCCCTCTGATCCTCAGGGAGGGGGTCCACAGTCCCTCTGATCCTCAGGGAGGGGGGTCCACAGTCCCTCTGATCCTCAGGGAGGGGGGTCCACAGTCCCTCTGATCCTCAGGGAGGGGGGTCCACAGTCCCTCTGATCCTCAGGGAGGGGGGTCCACAGTCCCTCTGATCCTCAGGGAGGGGTGTCCACAGTCCCTCTGATCCTCATGGGAGGGGGGTCCACAGTCCACAGGGAGGGGGAGTCCACAGTCCCTCTGATCCTCAGGGAGGGGGGTCCACAGTCCCTCTGATCCTCAGGGAGGGGGTCCACAGTCCCTCTGATCCTCAGGGAGGGGGGTCCCACAGTCCCTCTGATCCTCAGGGAGGGGGGTCCACAGTCCCTCTGATCCTCAGGGAGGGGAGTCCACAGTCCCTCTGATCCTCAGGGAGGGGGGTCCACAGTCCCTCTGATCCTCAGGGAGGGGGGTCCACAGTCCCTCTGATCCTCAGGGAGGGGGGTCCACAGTCCCTCTGATCCTCAGGGAGGGGGGTCCACAGTGGCAGTCCCTCTGTGTCTTGCCCAAGGACACAACAGCAGTGGGAGCAGTTGGAGTAGGTCTCGTGGGGATTGAACCCATGTCGCCCTAAGTCTTGTTAACTTTAACTATTTGCACATTTCCTCAGTGAGATCAATAAAACACATCCAAGTAAAAGAGTTTAAAGAGTAACTTACTGTGATCTCCTCCATCTTGGTCCCGGAGCAGAGGCACCTGGGAGCCCTGTCCCACTGCAGACACACAACAACACACAACAACACACAACAACACACAACAACACACAACAACACACAACAACACACAACAGGTTACACTGATCTGAAGGATTCAAACTAACCCACACAGCGCTCGTACCTGAGCTGGCGCCGTCGTGGTCGCGTCCGTAGCCGTGGTTTGGGGGCGCGGCCCCCGTGCCGTTGGGCAGAGGCAGCATGGGCATGGCGGGCTGCCCCATGCCGCTGTAGGCGGGCTGACCCATGCCGCTGTAGGCGGGCTGCCCGTACACACTGGGAGCGTACATGGTGGCGGCGTACTGACCCGCCATGCCCTTCTTCACCGCTTTGCCGGCTTCATACACTAGAAACACACTCAGGACTCAGCAAAGTCACACTGCAATGACCACATGTGTGTGTTCAGAGTGTGTAGTGCTCACATGTGTGTGTTCAGAGTGTGTAGTACTCACAGGCTCACATGTGTGTGTTCATGTTGTGTAGTACTCACAGGCTCATATGTGTGTGTTCATGTTGTGTAGTGCTCACATGTGTGTGTTCAGAGTGTGTAGTACTCACAGGCTCACATGTGTGTGTTCATGTTGTGTAGTACTCACAGGCTCACATGTGTGTGTTCATGTTGTGTAGTACTCACAGGCTCACATGTGTGTGTTCATGTTGTGTAGTACTCACAGGCTCATATGTGTGTGTTCATGTTGTGTAGTACTCACATGTGTGTGTTCAGAGTGTGTAGTACTCACAGGCTCACATGTGTGTGTTCATGTTGTGTAGTACTCACAGGCTCACATGTGTGTGCTCATGTTGTGTAGTACTCACAGGCTCACATGTGTGTGTTCATGTTGTGTAGTACTCACAGGCTCACATGTGTGTGCTCATGTTGTGTAGTACTCACAGGCTCATATGTGTGTGTTCATGTTGTGTAGTACTCACAGGCTCACATGTGTGTGTTCATGTTGTGTAGTACTCACAGGCTCATATGTGTGTGTTCATGTTGTGTAGTACTCACAGGCTCATATGTGTGTGTTCATGTTGTGTAGTACTCACATGTGTGTGTTCAGAGTGTGTAGTACTCACAGGCTCACATGTGTGTGTTCATGTTGTGTAGTACTCACAGGCTCACATGTGTGTGCTCATGTTGTGTAGTACTCACAGGCTCACATGTGTGTGTTCATGTTGTGTAGTACTCACAGGCTCACATGTGTGTGCTCATGTTGTGTAGTACTCACAGGCTCATATGTGTGTGTTCATGTTGTGTAGTGCTCACATGTGTGTGTTCAGAGTGTGTAGTACTCACAGGCTCATATGTGTGTGTTCATGTTGTGTAGTACTCACAGGCTCACATGTGTGTGTTCATGTTGTGTAGTACTCACAGGCTCACATGTGTGTGTTCATGTTGTGTAGTACTCACAGGCTCACATGTGTGTGTTCATGTTGTGTAGTACTCACAGGCTCATATGTGTGTGTTCATGTTGTGTAGTACTCACAGGCTCACATGTGTGTGTTCATGTTGTGTAGTACTCACAGGCTCACATGTGTGTGTTCATGTTGTGTAGTACTCACAGGCGCGGGGGCAGCAGCAGCGCTCGGGGCAGCAGGGGCAGCTCACATAACAGCAGCAGGTGTGAGGGCAGCACTGGCACCAACAGATCCCAATGAGCAGCAGCAGCAGGAGGAAACCCAGGACCACCAGGACCACGAGGAGCCAGTCTGTGGGAACGTCAGAGACACTTCAACTGTGTGCGTGCGTGCGTGTGCGTGTGTGCATGTGTGTGTGTGTGTGTGCGTGCGTGTGCATGTGTGCGTGTGCATGTGTGTGTGTGCGTGTGCATGTGTGCGTGTGCATGTGTGTGTGTGTGTGTGCGTGTGTGCGTGTGTGCGCGTGCGCGTGTGCATGTGTGCATGTGTGCGTGCGCATGTGTGCGTGTGTGCGCGTGTGCATGTGTGCGTGTGTGCGTGTGCATGTGTGCGTGTGCATGTGTGCGTGTGCATGTGTGCGTGTGCATGTGTGCGTGTGTGCGTGCGCATGTGTGCGTGTGTGTGTGCATGTGTGCGTGTGTGCGTGCGCATGTGTGCGTGTGCATGTGTGCATGTGTGCGTGCGCATGTGTGCATGTGTGCGTGCGCATGTGTGCATGTGTGCGTGCGCATGTGTGCGTGTGTGCGTGCGCATGTGTGCGTGCGCATGTGTGCGTGTGTGCGTGCGCATGTGTGCATGTGTGCGTGCGCATGTGTGCATGTGTGCGTGCGCATGTGTGCGTGTGTGCGTGCGCATGTGTGCGTGCGCATGTGTGCGTGTGTGCGTGCGCATGTGTGCGTGCGTGTGCATAGTTCCATCCGAGCCTTTATGGTTATTTCCTCAGACACTTCTATACTCACTAAAGATTATGGATCCTGGACTTTTGGGAATATGGATTTTCTCATCTCAAACATCACAGAAACAACAGTGGCTGGAATTCTAACACAAACACCTTTTATAAGAAGAAACCAGCAAAAAGAAGAGGCGTCTAAAACCAGCGAGTGAGAGTTTAAACTAAAAACATGAGAATTAACTTCCTCCTCATCAACGTAGAGGAGTCATATGGTTTTGGTCTCACTGGTGCCTGGAGTAGACCCTGCTCTAGACCCTGCTCTGGTCTCACTGGTTCCTGGAGTAGACCCTGCTCTAGACCCTGCTCTGGTCTCACTGGTGCCTGGAGTAGACCCTGCTCTAGACCCTGCTCTGGTCTCACTGGTTCCTGGAGTAGACCCTGCTCTAGACCCTGCTCTGGTCTCACTGGTTCCTGGAGAAGACCCTGCTCTAGACCCTGCTCTGGTCTCACTGGTGCCTGTAATTGCAGGATATGCTCAGTACCTACATTACCAAAGTGTGTTTTCTTGGCTCTGTCAAACCGGCCAAACCAGTTCAAGTTAGAGCCCAGAACGTCATGCCCCGTCACGTCCCCACAGAGACAGAAACTGGGAACGTTCGACTCCCCTGAATATAAAAGGTGTTACTGTCGTAGGGCTGTGAAAAACCTGGGACTGGGACTGAGAGACTTTGGGTCGGTCCTGGGTCTGTGTGGATCAGACAAAAACCTTTTTGTGCTTTGTTCTGGACGAGGCAGATCCTGAGGCAATATTTAAGCCAAAAACCATCTGCATTAGTTTAAAACAGGTCTCAGCGGACTCTACGGTCACAGGAGGGATTTCCCAGATTAAATATAAAGATAAAATAAGACAGAAGTGTGCGCATGCGCTCAGTCAGATTTGTGCCAAAGACAGAAGTGTGCTAACATGTTCAAACTCGTAGTGCGTCTAACTGGAGGAGCAAACCGATACAAAACAGCTCGGTTCATTGTTTTTGCTCTGAGAGGAGAAAGTTAGCAGCGTAAAAGGGCTGGAAAGTCTGGTTCTTTGGTCGGATACAAACAAACCACCGGCTGTTGGAAGAGGCTGTTTAATGGAAAGGTGCAAAATGCTCTGCTTTGTTTTCGGCTGTAATCATCAAAGTTTACACGACGCATTAGCTTTTCCCACAGCTTCAGTTTCTCACGCTCCATCCTCCCCTCACTCGTGAACAAGACCCCGAGATACTTGAACTCCTCCACTTGAGGAAGGACCTCTCCACCCACCTGCAGAGGGCAAGGCACCTTTTTCCGGTCGAGCACCATGGCCTCGGATTTGGAGGTGCTGATTCTCATCCCAGCCGCTTCGCACTCGGCTGCAAACCGTCCCAGTGCATGCTGCAGGTCCTGGTTCGTTGGAGCCAGCAGGACGACATCATCCGCAAAAAGTAGAGATGAAATCCTGTGGTTCCCGAACCGGACCCCCTCCGGCCCCTGGCTGCGCCTAGAAATTCTGTCCATAAATACAGTGAACAGAACCGGTGACAAAGGGCAGCCTTGGCGGAGGCCAACATTCACCGGGAACAGGTCTGACTTACTGCCGGCAATGCGAACACAGCTCTGACTCCGGTCATACAGGGACCGGACGGCCCTCAGCAGAGGACCCCGGACCCCGTACTCCCGGAGGACCCCCCAAAGGACACCCCGGGGAACACGGTCGAACGCCTTCTCCAAATCCACAAAGCACATGTGGACAGGTTGGGCGAACTCCCATGAACCCTCGAGTATCCGATGGAGAGTATAATAATAATAATAATAATGCATCGGTTTTATATAGCGCTTTTTTGGACACTCAAAGACGCTTCACATGTGTCATTATTCATTCACTCCAAACACGGTGGTGATAAACTACTAATGTAGCCACAGCTGCCCTGGGGCACACTGGCAGAAGCGAGGCAACCAGTATGTGCCATCGGCCCCTCCGACCACCACCAACCATTCACACACACACCAGACTCATTCTAGGCAATGGGGGTGAAGTGTCTTGCCTAAGGACACAACGGCAGTTTGGCACTTTACAGCCGCAGCCGCCCCACTGTGGCTGGTGTTCCCAGAGGTTAAGTGTCTTGCCAAGGACACAACGACAGTAGTCAGTGGGAGTCGATGGTGAAAGTCTTGAGCGGGGCTTGAACCCACGACCTTCTGGCTCAAAGGCCAACGCTCTACCAACTGAGCTACTGCCGCCTCCTGCCGAGTATAGAGCTGGTCCAGTGTTCCGCGACCGGGACGAAAACCACACTGCTCCTCCGAATCCGAGATTCGACCATCGGACGTAGCCTCCTCTCCAGTACCCATTGGAGTAGACCTTACCGGGGAGGCTGAGGAGTGTGATCCCACGATAATTGGAACACACCCTCCGGTCCCCCTTCTTGTAGAGAGGGACCACCACCCCGGTCTGCCACTCCATTGGTACCCGCCCCCGATCGCCACGCGATGCTGCAGAGACGTGTCAGCCAAGACAGTCCTACAACATCCAGAGACTTTAGATAGTCAGGACGGATCTCATCCACTCCCGGCGCCTTGCCACCATGGAGGCTGCCAACCACCTTGGTGACCTCGGCCAGGGAGATGTAAGTATCCGCCCCAACATCCTCAGCCTCTGCCTCCTGGACGGAGGACGTGACGGGGGGATTGAGGAGAACCTCGAAGTATTCCTTCCACCGCCCGACAATATCCCCAGTCGAGGTCAGCAGCCCTCCACCCGCACCATACACGGTGTTGGCAAAGAACTGCTTCCCCCTCCTGAGGCGCCGGACGGTTTGCCAGAACCTCTTCGAGGCCGACCGATAGTCATGCTCCATGGACTCTCCGAACTCCTCCCAGACCCGGGTTTTTGCCTCTGCAACAGCCCGGGCCGCGGCACGTTTGGCCTGCCGGTACTGGGACAGCTGCCTCAGGAGTCCCACGAACCATCATTGCTCGATAGGACTCCTTCTTCAGCCTGACGGCATCCCTTACTGCCGGTGTCCACCACCGGGTTCGGGGGTTGCCGCCGGGACCAGCACCAGAGACCTTGCGACCACAGCTACGAGCCGCCGCATTGGCGATAGAGGAAGAGAACATGGTCCACTCGGACTCGATGTCCCCCTCCTCCGCCGGGACCTGGGAGAAGCTCTCCCGGAGGTGTGAGTTGAAAGTCCGTCTGACAGGGGGCTCAGCAAGACGTTCCCAGCAAACCCTCACTACGCGCTTGGGCCTGCCAGGTCTGACCGGCCTCCTGCCCTGCCAGCGGATCCAACTCACGACCAGGTGAATGATCGGTTGACAGCTCCGCCCCTCTCTTCACCCGAGTGTCCGAGACACGCGGCCGAAGGTCAGATGATACGACAACAAAGTCGATCATCGACCTCCGGCCTAGGGTGTCCTGGTGCCACGTGCACTGATGGACACCCTTGTGCTCGAACATGGTGTTTCGTGATGGACACAAACTGTGACTGGCACAGAAGTCCAACAACTGAGCACCGCTCGGGTTCAGATCAGGGGGGCCGTTCTTCCCGATCACCCCTCTCCAAGTGTCACTGGCATTTCCCACATGGGCTTTGAAGTCCCCCAGGAGAATAACGGAGTCCCCGGGCGGTGCACTGTCCAGTACCCCTCCCCCAAGGACTCCAAGAAGGCCGGGGTACTCTGCACTGCTGTTAGGCCCGTAGGCCGTCACAACAGTGAGAGACTTGTCCCCCACCCGGAGGCGGAGGGACGCGACCCTCTCATTCACCGGGGAGAACTCCAACACGTGGCGGCTGAGATGGGGGGCAATGAGTATGGCCACCCCAGCTCGCCGCCTCTCCCCGCGGGAAACTCCAGAAAAGTGGAGCGTCCAACCCCTCTCAAGGAGTTGGGTTCCAGAGCCCAAGCTGTGTGTGGAGGTGAGGCCGACTATCTCTAGTCGGTATCGCTCAACCTCCCCACAAGCTCGGGCTCCTTCCCCCCCAGTGAGGTGACGTTCCACGTCCCAAGAGCCAGATGTTGTGTGTGTGGACTGGGTCGTCGAGGTCTCCGCCTTCGACTGCTGCCCAGTCCTCTCTGCACCTCGCCATCATATAAATAAAGTTTCTTATCTTAAAATACAAGCCACAATTAAAGGCTTGGCCGCGCACTATTACAGGTTAGCATTAGGTACAAGTTAGCTTGAATACATGTTCAAGTTAACTGTCTCTGAAATCAGACAAAATATTTAATCAGAACTGCAGAGCTTTTCCCACAGCTTCAGTTGGTCTTTGGGAAACCTAAAGAATGAGCATGTGTCGCGTAAACTGTGATGATTACAGCCGAAAACAAAGCAGAGCATTCTGCACCATTCACTTAAACCGCCTCTTCCAACAGCTGACGGTTTGTTTGTATCCGAGCAATGAACCAGAAGTGCTTCTGGACGAGACTTTCCAGCCCTAATGGGACTCTTTGGTTTCTCAGGCACCTCCTGTGAGACCGCCATCCCGTGGTTAGGAGTGGGATTACAACATTCTCTTCAAAACTACAACAACTGTGGCTATGTAGGTCCAACTGAGACTGTGTAGGTCCAACTGTGTAGGTCCAACTGTGTAGGTCCAACTGTGTAGGTCCAACTGTGTAGGTCCAACTGTGTAGGTCCAACTGTGTAGGTCCAACTGTGTAGGTCCAACTGTGTAGGTCCAACTGTGTAGGTCCAACTGTGTAGGTCCAACTGTGTAGGTCCAACTGTGCAGGTCCAACTGTGTAGGTCCAACTGTGTAGGTCCAACTGTGTAGGTCCAACTGTGTGCAGGTCCAACTGTGTAGGTCCAACTGTGTAGGTCCAACTGTGTAGGTCCAACTGTGCAGGTTCCAACTGTGTAGGTCCAACTGTGTAGGTCCAGCTGTGTAGGCTAACTGTGTAGGTCCAACTGTGTAGGTCCAACTGTGTAGGGTCCAACTGTGTAGGTCCAACTGTGCAGGTCCAACTGTGTAGGTCCAACTGTGCAGGTCCAACTGTGTAGGTCCAACTGTGTAGGTCCAGCTGTGTAGGTCCAACTGTGTAGGTCCAACTGTGTAAGTCCAACTGTGTAGGTCTCTGCTCAGATCACAGCTCAAAGTGAATGTAATGATGGGGAAACAATTATACCACATTCTCGTGCTTTTTATTTAACTTTTGGTTGTATATTTCAGAGCCCCCCCCCCCCACACACACACACACACACACACGGTTTACACTAATCTAGGAACTCCATTTCCAAAGGGGCTTGTACCTTCCATAACCAGTAAGTCAACTTCTGGCAGAAGATCAGTAGTATTTGACTTTCTCTCTGCGGAAGAAAGATAATGTGATGTTACTGGATTAGACTCTAGCCCCTCGCTATCTGACTGCTACGGACTGAAGGGGGGGGGGCTCTCCGCACACACACCCCTGTGTCTACAAACACACCTGGGGCAGGGGGGCTCTCTGCACACACACACCTGGGGCAGGGGGGCTCTCTGCACACACACACCTGGGGGAGGGGCTCTCTGCACGCACACACCTGGGGGAGGGCTCTCTGCACACACACCACACTGGGGGAGGGGCTCTCTGCACGCACACACCTGGGGGAGGGCTCTCTGCACACACACACCTGGGGGAGGGGCTCTCTGCACGCACACACCTGGGGGAGGGGCTCTCTGCACGCACACACCTGGGGGAGGGGCTCTCTGCACACACACACCTGGGGGAGGGGCTCTCTGCACGCACACACCTGGGGGAGGGCTCTCTGCACACACACACCTGGGGGAGGGGCTCTCTGCACGCACACACCTGGGGGAGGGGCTCTCTGCACGCACACACCTGGGGGAGGGGCTCTCTGCACGCACACACCTCGGGGAGGGCTCTCTGCACACACACACCTGGGGGGGGGCTCTCTGCACACACACACCTGGGGGAGGGCTCTCTGCACACACACACCTGGGGGGGGGGGGGGCTCTCTGCACACACACACACTGGGGGGGGGGGGGGCTCTCTGCACACACACACCTGGGGGGGGGGCTCTCTGCACACACACACCTGGGGGGGGGGGCTCTCTGCACACACACACCTGGGGGGGGGGCTCTCTGCACACACACACCTGGGGGAGGGCTCTCTGCACGCACACACACACCTGGGGGGGGCTCTCTGCACACACACACCTGGGGGAGGGCTCTCTGCACACACACACACACCCGGGGGAGGGCTCTCTGCACACACACACCTGGGGGAGGGCTCTCTGCACACACACACCTGTGGGGTGGGCTCTCTCTGCACACACACACCTGTGGGGTGGGCTCTCTCTGCACACACACACCTGTGGGGTGGGCTCTCTCTGCACACACACACCTGTGGGGTGGGCTCTCTCTGCACACACACACCTGTGGGGAGGCTCTCTGCACACACACACCTGGGGGAGGGCTCTCTGCACACACACACCTGGGGGAGGGGGCTCTCTGCACTCACGCACCTGTGGGGTGGGCTCTCTCTGCACACACACACCTGTGGGGGGGGCTCTCTCTGCACACACACACGGCCGTCTGCCCCAGGTTCAGGTCGGCATGCACTGACACACAACACAAGGACAACAGGTCAGGCCGTCTGCCCCAGGTTTCATACACTACACAAAACAGGTCAGGGTTACACTACACAACAGGTCAGGGGATACACTACACAACAGGTCAGGGTTACACTACACAACAGGTCAGGGTTACACTACACAACAGGTCAGGGATACACTACACAACAGGTCAGGGTTACACTACACAACAGGTCAGGGTTACACTACACAACAGGTCAGGGATACACTACACAACAGGTCAGGGATACACTACACAACAGGTCAGGGATACACTACACAACAGGTCAGGGATACACTACACAACAGGTCAGGGATACACTACACAACAGGTCAGGGATACACTACACAACAGGTCAGGGATACACTACACAACAGGTCAGGGTTACACTACACAACAGGGGCTAAAAGAACTCACATAGAGTACTCAAAACAAGTCATCAGTTGTAAGTTAAAAATGTGATTTAAGTATAGTAAAAGTATAGTAAAAGTATAGTAATAGTATAGTAATAGTAATATAGTAAGATTAAATTAAAGTAATCCCTGAGCCTAATCCAGAGTAAAGTCAAATACAGAGTCTGATGAGCTGATGACTGTTTAGGGTCTTTGTGAATGAGCTTTTGATACAGAATGAACCTCTGTTGGTTCAGAAGAACCAGAAGACATTGATAAAGATGAAAATACTCCGGTAACCGTAGCTTCTCTGAATCAGGAGCACTGAATACTCCGGTAACCGTAGCTTCTCTGAATCAGGAGCACTGAATACTCCGGTAACCGTAGCTTCTCTGAATCAGGAGCACTGAATACTCCGGTAACCGTAGCTTCTCTGAATCAGGAGCACTGAATACTCCGGTAACCGTAGCTTCTCTGAATCAGGAGCACTCACCGTTGAGGATGCTGATCTTGCGGCCCTGATACTCCGGGCCCAGGGTTACGGTGGAGCCGTCTTTGGACGCCACATTGCGCACCGTGCGTTGGGAATCGGCGCACTCGATGTTGGGGTCGTAGTTGGGGTTGTTCTGGGCCAGGATGTTCTCGGCGCTGTTGGGGTTGAGCGCTGCCTGCACTGGGTCCCTGCAGTAGGACTTGTACTTCCACAGAACCACAGGGCGCTGACTCGAGGACTGGTATTTACAGTCCACCGTGACGGGCTGGAACAGGATCGCCACAATCCTCTTCCTCGGACACTCCACGGTTATCGAGGCGCAGAAGTCTGAGCAAAGAGAGACACATCTTTAATCCACTCAGTTAAGCCCTAAATCATAGAAGCAGATCAGAAACAGTTCAAACACAAAGATCTAAAAGGTTCATATGAGCTTCATGTCTTTGGTGGTTCTTAAGTTCCATGTATTTTCTTGGTTAGAAGTTAGAGGACGAGTTAGAAGGTAATGCATCCAACTTTCTCCAAATCAACACAAAACACAGTTCAAACACAAAAAATGCATTCATTTCATCCATTTTCCTCCGCTTCATCCGTTGCCGGGTTGTGGGGGCAGCAGTCTAAGCAGAGACGCCCAGACTTCCCTCTCACACACTTCCTCCAGCTCGGGGGGACCCCAAGGCCTTCCCAGAGAGAGATATAGTCTCTCTGTGTCCTGGGTCTTCCCCGAGCCACCTCAAATGGTTCCTTTCGACGTGGAGGAGCAGCGGCTCCACTCTGAGCTCCTCCCGTGTGACTGAGCTCCTCTATCTCTAAGGGAGCAGCCACTCTGTGGAGGAAGCTCATTTTGACGTTTGTATCCGCGATCTCGTTCCTTTGGTCATTACCCAAAGCTCATGACCAGAGGTGAGGGAACATAGATCGGCTGGTAAATAGAGAGCTCTGACTGCAGACGCTGCTCCCTCTTCACCACAACGGTCCGATACAGCGACCGCATCACTGCGCACGCTGCACCGATCCGCCTGTCAATCTCACGCTCCATCCTCCCCTCACTCGTGAACAAGACCCCGAGATACTTGAACTCCTCCAGCCAGGAGGCTGCCAACCACCTTGGTGACCTCCGCCAGGGAGATGGGAGTATCCGCCCCAACATCCTCAACCTCTGCCTCCATGTGACGGGGGGATTGAGGAGAAACCTCAAAGCATTCTTTCCACTGCCCGACAATATCCCCAGTTGAGGTGAGCAGCTCTCCCCCCGCACCATACACGGTGTTGGCAAAGAACTGCTTCCTCCTCCTGAGGCGCCGGACGGTTTTCCAGAATCTCTTCAAGGCCGACCGATAGTCATGCTCCGTGGACTCTCTGAATTACCGGGGGGAAAAAGACCAGTGTACCATGGGAGCCCCTACCAGGGGCATAAAGACCAGTGTACCATGGGAGCCCCTACCAGGGGCATAAAGACCAGTGTACCATGGGAGCCCCTACCAGGGGCATAAAGACCTGTGTACCATAGGAGGCCCTACCAGGGGCATAAAGACCTGTGTACCATAGGAGGCCCTACCAGGGGCATAAAGACCAGTGTACCATGGGAGGCCCTACCAGGGGCATAAAGACCCGTGTACCATGGGAGGCCCTACCAGGAGCATAAAAACCTGTGTACCATGGGAGGCCTTACCGGGAGCATAAAGCCCCAGACAACATAGCCTCCAGGGTCATCCGAGTACTCAAATTCCCCCACGTTAAGATGGCAGTCCAGGGGGGACTGCCAAGAAATGCAATAATTACAAACACAGGAGCCATTGGGCAAAGACCAAACATGTTAATAGATGTCCTTAAATGTTGCAGATCAGTAAGTGACAGAAGCATAAAGTGACAGTAGCCTAAAGTGACAGAAGCATAAAGTGACAGTAGCCTAAAGTGACAGAAGCATAAAGTGACAGTAGCCTAAAGTGACAGAAGCATAAAGTGACAGTAGCATAAAGTGACAGTAGCATAAAGTGACAGTCATAGTGATAAGGTCAGACACAGGTCAGTGATGGTTTATGACTGCCCTGCCGGACCAGCCTGAGAGTTCTTCAGTCCTGCACCGGACCGGTCCACGTTCTGTAGCTTAGGTCCTGGATCTATAGCCCGTCTGTAGCTTAGGTCCTGGATCTATAGCCCGTCTGTAGCTTAAGTCCTGGATCTATAGCCTGTCTGTAGCTTAGGTCCTGGATCTATAGCCCGTCTGTAGCTTAGGTCCTGGATCTATAGCCCGTCTGTAGCTTAGGTCCTGGATCTATAGCCCGTCTGTAGCTTAGGTCCTGGATCTATAGCCCGTCTGTAGCTTAGGTCCTGGATCTATAGCCCGTCTGTAGCTTAGGTCCTGGATCTATAGCCCGTCTGTAGCTTAGGTCCTGGATCTATAGCCCGTCTGTAGCTTAGGTCCTGGATCTATAGCCCGTCTGTAGCTTAAGTCCTGGATCTATAGCATGTCTGTAGCTTAGGTCCTGGATCTATAGCCTGTCTGTAGCTTAGGTCCTGGATCTATAGCCCGTCTGTAGCTTAAGTCCTGGATCTATAGCCTCAGTCCTCATTCTACAGTCTGAGTCCTGGATCTATAGCCCGTCTGCAGCTTAGGTCCTGGATCTATAGCCTCAGTCCTCATTCTACAGTCTGAGTCCTGGATCTATAGCCCGTCTGTAGCTTAGGTCCTGGATCTATAGCCTCAGTCCTCATTCTACAGTCTGAGTCCTGGATCTATAGCCCGTCTGTCCGTGGGAGCGGATCCCTTTCTCAAACCATGGGTCTCCCCGAGGTTTCTCACTTTTTCCCACTGGGTTTTCTTATGAGTTTTTCCTCTGATGCAGGAGGGTCTGTTGGACAGTTAGTGTCCAACTAGAAGGACTGACATTTATCAACATGTGACATTTATCAACATGTGTGACATTTATCAACATGTGTGACATTTATCACATGTGTGACATTTATCACATGTGTGACATTTATCACATGTGTGACATTTATCACATGTGTGACATTTATCACATGTGTGACATTTATCACATGTATGACATTTATCACATGTATGACATTTATCAACATGTATGACATTTATCACATGTGTGACATTTATCACATGTGTGACATTTATCACATGTATGACATTTATCACATGTGTGACATTTATCACATGTGTGACATGTATTACATGTGTGACATTTATCAACATGTGTGACATTTATCACATAATGTGTTCTTCATGTGTTTTAACTGTTGATTCTCTGATCTGTGTTGGTGATTTCAATGGTTTTATTAAGTCTCTTAGATGATACTGTTGTGAATTTAGGGCAATACAAGAATACATTGTATTGTAGGGCTGGGCGATATGGCTGAAAACTATATCACGATATAAGTCATTCATATCGGTCGATAACGATATATATTGAGTTTTTTTTTTTTACCTAAATAAATATATTTGTGGTGTGGGCTAACCAACCTTAGCAGCCTTGTTTACAGTCACGGGGCGATGAGGCTGGAGGAATATGTTCACACTGTGTCCCTCGTTGTTAGTCCTGGTTTAATCCTGGTTTTTTATTCCTGGTTTAGCTCCTGGTTTAGCTGTTTGAGGGTCTTGTGTCCCCGTGACCGCTCCGTGCGGCTCTCTGTGCTGCACATGCTTCCCGAGGAAAAAGTTAATCTCTTGCTTTGGCTGAATACATGGTGTCTGTCCACTGCCTCGACCGCCGCACATGTTATTCCGCGCACGTACGAGCACAACCATTGACACTGCATTGAAACACAAGCTATAGATCCATGGACGCTACGCATGCTGCGGTTGTTGTTGTTTTTGTATTTCCCACAAAGTTTTGCGGTTCCTGCTCGGCTGTTATTGGTCGAGAAGCCTCTGCCTACATCCCCCACAATGCCATGCGCTTATGAGTCGGCTTTACTTCCGGTGTTTTCTTCCTGTTTTTCCTGACGGAGTTAAGTTAAACTATCGAACATTCTATCGACCCCATTCTCTATTGATATCGAACACATGTCTATCGCGATATATATCGTTATCGTTTTATCGCCCAGCCCTATTGTATTGTATTGTATTGTATGACGTTTTATCTAAGAAAAACCTCATACAACATACAATGGACTGGACTAGCCCAGAGCAAAAGCAAAAACTGGGGCACAAGGATCATCAACCGAGATGAGGGGGCCTTCACCTTGACTCATTTACATTTACCTGAACAGTTTTGTCTATCTGAAAAAACAACTATATTCCAACTAATAATATCAATGTATTAAACACACAGAGGGATCCCTCCTTCTGTCTTCTTGATGTAAACCTGAAGCTTGTTTATACATTTACCTGAACCGTTTTGTCTCATCAGTGAAGATGGTAAAAAAGAAAGGAATGGCATCTGATGAGACGACACCTGGTATCACTGAGAGTGAGTCACTGCAGGAAGCGGCAAAGTTCTCTGAGGCTAATTTACAACTAAACACACATCTAAAGCCACTTCTGCCTTAATGTCATACTAACTGTGGTCACAAAGCATTTAACAATAGCATGATCATTACCAACATGTGAATCATTATGGCTCTCCTCAGCTGCTGCTTTTCGTGACACAAAAATCGTTTATCTCTACTATTTTACTGATAAACAAAGAGACATAGTAATGCTGCATGAAAAAAGCCCAGCCTGAGTCCTCGTTCTACAGTCTGAGTCCTGGACCTACCCTTATTTCCCACTGGGTCTAAAGGACAGTGTTGATCCGGGACATTTCCATCCAGACCACGTGTAGAATTAGGGTTGTGTTCGAACTGATTCTCTTATCTGTTGTTGGTGAATTAACAACTTTGTAAAGTCCTTCCGAGGAGTCTGCTGTTGTGATTTAGGGTTGTACACAAATCAATTCTAAGATCCTTCATCCGTTTGCACCAAATCACTAAAGCAAATCTTTGAAGGACTTAGGGATAATTCTACTGTTTTCAGATTAGGATTTAAATATTGCAGTAACATTAAAGTACCATCAGTGTTCATGTTGTGTATTTAAATGTATCCTGTGACTCAGTGCAGCAGGTGTGTAGTCATTGTGAAAGCACCATTGTCACATAGAGGCTCCATGGTATCTCATCCTGAGTCAGTATCAATCACAGGGTAGTAACACAATGAAGGCACTTTACAGCCCCCAATACCTCCCTCAAACCTGTCCTAGTTTAGGTTTTCCAGCACAGCAGATCAGAATGACCACATTGTGTAAAATGTCTCGTCTTAAAATTCTATAGATTTTGAACTTACAATAATTTACTAAATTGTGGCAGAACGTCATAGCAGGATTACAATACCATACATTAAAAAAAGCTTAAGAAATCATACTTTGAATCCACCGTCCCTACTCGGCTCAGCTCTACTCTACCTACAGTAGTTGTGTTTCCATTACACTTTTGTTTATATCCAGACAAACCAGCATTCAGGGCACTATGAACAATCACTGTCATTTAGAACACTTTAGCACCAGCTCGGCTGGAATAGAACCAGGGCCGCCGGTCCCTGGTACCAGTCAAGCAGGGCCAGTGGAAACACTCCCAATCAGGGTAGAGTAGAGTCAAGTAGAGTAATGGGCCGTTCAGACGCCGACACTTGAACACAGCTTCCACTGGACGCACATTCACTAAATTTCAGGCGCAGAATGAAGTGCTGCTTTTGCGGCGGAAGTAGGTCTGAAGTGACGGGCTTTCATGCTAACAAAGTAAAGTTAGCAGCTTTTTGTGCAAAGTTTTCTCCAAGAAGGCATATATACCAGCAGTATTAGCCTGGCCTTAGCCATCCGTACACTCCGTTCAATCATCATTTTACTGTATGTATTAGAGATTACAATCGGCTGAATTTCGACCGACCAATCAGAGAGTGCGGAAGGCAGGTGTTGTAGTTAGTTGTGGGTGATGTCAAGAGTTTGCGTCAAACAGGCAGGTTGTAGTTTGGCGAAAAATGCGATAGTAAAGCTGACTTTATATAACAGCGGTATGTGTTCACGGAGGTGACTTTATATAACAGCAGTATGTGTTCACGGAGGTGACTTTATATAACAGCAGTATGTGTTCACGGAGGTGACTTTATATAACAGCAGTATGTGTTCACGGAGGTGACTTTATATAACAGCAGTATGTGTTCACGGAGGTGACTTTATATAACAGCAGTATGTGTTCACGGAGGTGACTTTATATAACAGCAGTATGTGTTCACGGAGGTGACTTTATATAACAGCAGTATGTGTTCACGGAGGTGACTTTATATAACAGCAGTATGTGTTCACGGAGGTGACTTTATATAACAGCAGTGTGTGTTCACGGAGGTGACTTTATATAACAGCAGTATGTGTTCACGGAGGTGACTTTATATAACAGCAGTATGTGTTCACGGAGGTGACTTTATATAACACCAGTATGTGTTCACGGTGACTTTATATAACAGTAGTATGAACACACTCGAAGCAGTTGCATAAGGTCACAGGAGCATGACAACACATATTTTCACAAGCACAGAGTCCCCCATTGTCAGCCCTGGTTTGAGTTCTGGTGAAGTCTGGTGTGGGTCCTGTTTTGGCTGTTTACAGTATTTTCAGTCTGCTCGCTCAGTCCGCTAATGTCCCCGTGACCACTTTGATGCTCTCTGATTGGTTGTCGCACAAACGTCGCAAGGAAAGGATGAGCAGAATCCATCGCCTGTGGGCGTTGATTTTTCGCTCCTGCTCCTCCCTTTTTACTTTCCCGCCAAGTCCGTGCGTCATTATTGAACAGTCCGTTCGTGCCGAGAGGTCCGTGCGTTGTGACGGTCAAACGCGCGCCACCGGCCCCGACTCCACCGGGCTTAGGCCCCGACTCCACCGGGCGCGTAAAACGGACGACGGATCCGTCCAAACATGTCCGTTTCATCTCCGTCTCCGTTATCTCCATGAGGGTGAATGGAAGTGGCTCCACTGCCTCCGCATGCGTCCGTCTGATGCACGTCGGACGTATTCCGTTAACGGAGGGTGCAACGGACGCAGACGGACGAAATAGAAACAATCCTATTTGTTCCGTCCGTCGACGCGTGTCGGGTCCGTTTTCCATTGAAAATACAATGGAATAATATATTTACAACATTGTTAAACATGTATTGATATATGCTGTAGCCCTTGGTTATAAGTATTTGTTAATGACAATGATTATTAACAAACCTGTGTAATTTTCTTCATGTATTACTTTAAATAATTGTTTCCTGATCGTAAATCTACCATTCATTTTTCGCGTAATGTAAATACGCTAATCTTTACATACACCTCGCTTTTTTTTCTCTCGCTCTGTCCCCTCTACCTCCGAGGCGCTCTCTCCTCACCGCCACACACACACACACACACACACACACACACACACAGAGCTATACTGCACTTATGAAAGACAGATCTCACAACAACACTGGAGTTCTTTTCTCCTTTCTCTCTCCCCTTTTTGCTTTCAATAAGTTTTGCCTCATCCATCGCGACGTCCTCAATGCTTCAATATGCTGTGCTTTGCATTGATCATAGCCACAGCTCATTCAAATCACACACTGCTTCCTCTATTTAAAACTATAGCGGCTGCCTGTTGCGGAGAGGGGAGTTGGGTCAGATAAAAGTGTATGACGCGCTAAATAAGTATAGAAAACAAACGAAGAGGCTGGATCATAATAAACGCTGCGGGCACGCGCGCGCGCGCGCACACACACACACACACACACTTCTCCATCAGCCAAATATTCATTCATTCACAAAATGCCCAAACGTGTCTCCTACAAAAACAAAGCAGGCTGATAAACGCACAGCCAGAGCTGCGCGCTGCTGCAGCCGGTTTGACCACTAGTCCGTTTTATGGACGTCTGACGGACAGCAGCCAACGCGCGTCAACGGAGACGCGCCCGGTGGAGTCCAGGCCATAGACTTTGCATTGAAACCCGACGCAACGCATGATCCGGTCTGAAAGCACCATAAGGCCAAGCAGGACTGGTGGAAACGGGGCTAAAGGACTTGAACGTAAAATTACTATTGTATTGTAGTTATTAAATCTTTAAATTAGACACATAGAGCCTACATAACACAAAACAGACAACCCAGATTTAGACAAAAAGCAAAAAACAAAAATACAGTTTATAACAAAAACAAACCAAACATACAGTATGAACGACCTATTCATGCATGGTTCCAAAATAATACATGTCTGAACTTGGAAAACATGTTACAAAGGCGACATAAAAATCAGAGTAGAGTCAAGCAGGGCTGGTGGAAACGGGGCGAAAATAACCTGAACGTGAAATACCTGGCCAATGCATGTTTCCAAGTTATTACATGTTTGAACGTGGAAAACCGGTTAAAAAGGCGACATTAACGTTTTGTTTATGGTTAGATTTAACCATAATTCCAGTCACAGACCCACGCAGAGGGACGCACCCAGTTCAGCCAACACCACTCACCTGACGTCATCAGCGCGGCCAGGAGCAGCGTCCCCCACGTCTTGGAGTCCATTCTGCCGCTAAAAAACGTGATAATATACAATAAAACCGCAGAAGAATCAGCGCAGATTCGCAATAGACATAAAAAAGTCAAACACGTCGCGCTCTCAGTTCTCCTCCAGGTAACATCTCCATTTTGTGGAAACCTGAGACAGAGCACAGCCCACAGGTGAGACGAGCCCACCGAGCCCAAACAGGGGGTGGCACTGGGGGAAACTTGGATTCGTTCATTTATGAAAAGAGAAGGGAAAATGTATTCATGTAGAATGAGTGAAAACAAAGCAGAATTATTTGTATTAATAGCTGTAAAAGCTCCGTTACCGACGCACAATCCAGAAAGGGTTGAGAAGTTAGAACTGTGCTTACCTACGAGTTGGTACAGTCCAGACTCTTCCGCTTTCCAGGTTAATCTTCAACGCGTAGGTAAAATGTCTGAATGTTATGTGGATAAATAGGTCAAAGAACTGAGTATACACTGTCTCTTACAAAATAAACAGGTTCAAAAGCAGGACTCTCATTCAAACCAAAAGTGGGTTCTACGATCCCCATAGAAAAGAAAGAGTACGTAGATACAGAAAAAGTCATAAAGTTAATAATAAATAAATTGACTGCTCTGGGAGTCAGTTTAATATAAAACTTGTTCGGGTTTAAAAACGGATGAATCACATTGGGTCTGCTCTCCTCCGCAGATGTGACCTGTAACAAGTGTCTGGGAAAGTGTAGAGCAGATTGTGTAACAAAACCATAACATGGTGAACCCAAAGCAAAGCTCCTGTGCCTGAAAATGTCCTGAAAGGGGAAAAAGAATAATAAGAAGACACCAGGACACGTCTTTCCCTGTTAATATTATAGATCCATGGTCTTTCCCATAGACTGTAAATATAGTCTTTCCTCATAACACTCTGTCTGAGAAAACTGGGGGACGCTCCCCCTACTGGAGACTCAACGTCACTGCACTTACAGATTAAAATAGGTTACACACCAGGAGTGAGGATTGCACAGTTTTATGCTTACTTTTTATTATGTTAAAGCTATAAAGAGAACTTCATTCATTTTAGGAGAGTTATTGTTCAGTTTTTCAACACATAGGAGCCATTAGTCCATATTAGCAATGTCCAATATCATCATGGATAAAAACATGGGTAAGATAAGATAAGATGTGCTTTATTTATCTCACATAGGAGAAATTTACATGTCACATTTGGCATGGATAGGATTGTCCAAAAGGAGACGTAACATAAGCATGTAAAGCTGCAGGGGGTGCTATCACAATAAACTATGTCCAAGTTCAGACATGTATTCCTCCTCTGCTCCTCATATTTAACATGTAAATGTCTCCATTCTGAGATCAATAACGTTTTTTTCATCTTATTTTTTGGTCACACAAAGATGGCCGCCACGTGTTCAACCCCCCGCGCCCTCTAGCCCCTCCCGTCCGCCTGTGGCCTCTGATTGGTCAGTGTCCTCTGACGTATCTGCGATCAGCTGTTTTATGCAACAACAACAGCTCTGCAGCACACAGGAGAAACACACACAGGACACACACAGGGGCGGCCAGAACCACACGATCCAGCCCGACACACGCACGCAAACCCCCGCGAGGCCAACAACCTCACCCCGCTGCCCCTCCAGGCTGCTCCCGGGGTTCTCCTGAGGCTTCTCCCGGGGCCAGGCTCCAGACTGCGGCCTCATCGTCGGTGAGTGAGGGAGAACGCGATTTTACCTTTTGTTTTCAAATGCTGGAGGGTTGCCATGTTTGTTCCTTTTACACCGCGAATTTAGAGCCGTAAAAATGGTCATTTCTAGTAAGACTCAGTTTTGTTGCGTTTATAATACGTGAAAATGTGTAAAATTTACTTTTACACCAATAGTTTGGCTTGGATTGGATCTGGGTCGCTTTGTTTGAGTCGTGTTGGGGCGAGTTCTTTCTTCGCAGATCCGTCCACATTAGAATCTATCTACATTAGAATCTGTCTACATTAGAATCTGTCTACATTAGAATCTGTCTACATTAGAATCTGTCTACATTAGAATCTGTCTACAATAGAATCTGTCTACATTAGAATCTGTCTACATTAGAATCTGTCTACATTAGAATCTGTCTACAATAGAATCTGTCTACATTAGAATCTGTCTACATTAGAATCTGTCTATATTAGAATCTGTCTATATTAGAATCCGTCCACATTAGAATCTATCTACATTAGAATCTGTCTACAATAGAATCTGTCTACATTAGAATCTGTCTACAATAGAATCTGCCTACAATAGAATCTGTCTACATTAGAATCTGTCTACAATAGAATCTATCTACATTAGAATCTGTCTACATTAGAATCTATCTACATTAGAATCTGTCTACATTAGAATCTGTCTACAATAGAATCTGCCTACAATAGAATCTGCCTACAATAGAATCTGTCTACAATAGAATCTGCCTACAATAGAATCTGCCTACAATAGAATCTGCCTACAATAGAATCTGTCTACAATAGAATCTGTCTATATTAGAATCTACATTAGAATCTGTCTACAATAGAATCTGGACCATCGCCCGAACTGCTCTGCTTCACAGCGGGCCGCGTGTGGACCACTTTAAACGGGTTAAAAAGACGCGGTTTCAGAGGTTTTGAAGCCGGAGACCGCGGCCTCCTCCTCTGCGAGTCACAGCTGTGTATGTCAACAAGGAAACACAGAATAATACAGGGTCACGTTTATACAGGTGCAGAACAGTCATGTTTATACAGGTGCAGAACAGTCATGTTTATACAGGTGCAGAACAGTCATGTTTATACAGGTGCAGAATAGTCATGTTTATACAGGTGCAGAATAGTCATGTTTATACAGGTGCAGAACAGTCATGTTTATACAGGTGCAGAACAGTCATGTTTATACAGGTGCAGAATAGTCATGTTTATACAGGTGCAGAACAGTCATGTTTATACAGGTGCAGAACAGTCATGTTTATACAGGTGCAGAATAGTCATGTTTATACAGGTGCAGAACAGTCATGTTTATACAGGTGCAGAACAGTCATGTTTATACAGGTGCAGAACAGTCATGTTTATACAGGTTTATACAGGTGTATTTCTCTGACTGAGCAGTTTCTTAAAGACCATAAATATCTGTCTAAATCAAATGAACCACTTTTGTAACGTATGAAAATAAGCAGAACAAGCATCGTATGAAAGCCACAGCCCTGAGCTTTAAATCCAGCTCTACAGGTGTTTGAAGCACCAACAGTGACCTACATCCTGGGTCAGGAAAGCAGATTAAAGCAGCTGTGGTCAGTGGAGCAGGAGTCTGGACTTTGAGCCTGTTTTGTTATAGATTAGAGCGCCCTCTGGTGGAGAGTGATTGTATCACATGAGTATTCCGTAGTAGTGTAAACGACTTTTTTAAGTATTACACTAGTGCGCATGTGTGCTACCTTGTGACCTATGTTTTGCGGGTTTTGGTTCTCTATAAACAAATGAGGACCTCACTTTGAGGGGAATCTCCAACTACAATTTGCGACTCTCTCATCCCTGTCCTGTTAGGTACGCTACATTAGCTGTTAAAAGGAGGAGTGTGTCTGTGTGTGTCTCTGTGTCTGTATACGAGTGTGTCTGTCTGTGTCTGTGTGTGTGTGTCTCTGTGTCTGTATACGAGTGTGTCTGTCTGTGTCTGTGTGTGTGTGTCTCTGTGTCTGTATGTGTGTGTCTCTGTCTCTGTGTGTGTGTCTCTGTGTCTGTTTGTGTCTCTGTGTGTGTGTGTTAGAGTGTGACTTAGTGGAAAGTAAAGTATTGTGTGTTTGCAGATCTCCTGCTACTCTGTGGCTCCGCCCCCTCACTTCCTTATAAGGTGCTGTCTTCCTGCAGCTCATGACCAAAGGTGGGTTTGGATACACTCACCACATCTGAACAAATCTATCAAAAGTTATTGTTGATATTGAGGCAAATTGATGATTATTTTTTAACGTAAAAAAAAAAATATATATATTACTCAATTTAAAAACCCTTGATTAGCTCTGACTCATTAACAGCTAAATGTAGAGTAACAGATTCATACAAAATCCAAAGTAGAGAATAGAATAAGGCATAAAACATAATTTAAAGTGTTACATTTCATCAGAGCCGAGGTCATAAGAGGACAAAACCTTTGCCCATTTCTATGTAAATGATCTCTGTGTTGCAGATCTCACTGCCCTGCCCTCGGCTCGGACTCTGGCCTCGGTTCGGACTCTGGCCTCGGCTCGGACTCTGGTCTTCTCTCAAGACCAGGATGTTCCAGCGTTTCACCAGTGCTCTGTTCGGGGCAGACACCAGCAAGACCGAGACCCAGGGATCCCAGTCCGAGGAGGTCCAGGGATCCCAGTCCGAGGAGGTCCAGGGATCCCAGTCCGAGGAGGTCCAGGGATCCCAGTCCGAGGGGGTCCAGGGATCCCAGTCCGAGGGGGTCCAGGGATCCCAGTCCGAGGAGGTCCAGGGATCCCAGTCCGAGGGGGTCCAGGGATCCCAGTCCGAGGGGGTCCAGGGATCTCCGTCCGAGGGGGTCCAGGGATCCCAGCCCGAGGAGGCAGAAGAGGACTGGATCCTCCTGAACTACCAGAGTGAGTCCTACAAACCACTGGGTTAAAGTATTATTAATATTGCTATTGCTTTTCCAACAAGTAATGCCTGGGCATCGCATACTCGTTGTAACTGTCATAAGTCACAATCTCCTGCACCCGACGGCATGTGCCCAAGCACTGATAAATCCGTGCCGGAGGCTTTGCTCCTGCTGTAGTACACAGTGAAATGATTGAGGTCCTATTAAATGGGGGTTCTTTCAGAATCAGAATCATTTTTATTGCCACGTAAGTAACAGGAGGTCACAGACTTGGAAATTGCTTTGGCTCAGTGCAACAGTCAGAAAGAGATAATAAAAATAAAGAATAAAAAACACTTCTAAGGAATACATTTAAATTTAAAATAGAGTTACAGTTACTATTTACAATATCCAAGTGCACATGGTGCACACAATGTAAGGTGACAGCAGTACAGTGAAGTAAAGTGACGTATGATGGGCAGTAAAGTGACTTTATAAAGGGCGGGGGGACAGGTTAAGAAGTGTTCAAGAGTCCAACAGCAGAGGGGAAGAAACTGTTCTTGTGGCGGGAGGTTCTAGTCCTGATGGACCGCAGCCTCCTGCCTGAGGGGAGTGGTTGGAATAGTCCATGTGCAGGGTGAGAGGGGTCGGCTGTGATACGACCAGCCCGGCCTCGAGCTCGGGCGACGTACAGGTCCTGCAGCGATGGAAGGCTGCGGCCGATCACTTCCTCTGCAGAGCGCACAATGCGCTGTAGTCTCTGTTTGTCCCTGACTGTGGCTCCAGCGAACCACACGGTGATGGAGGAGGTGATGGTGGAGGTGATGGAGGAGGTGAGGATGGACTCGATGATGGCCGTGTAGAACTGCAGCTTGGCTTTCCTGAGCTGCCGCAGGAAGTACATCCTCTGCTGGGCCTTCTTGATGAGGGAGCTGATGGTCGGCTCCCACTTGAGGTCCTGGGTGATGGTGGTGCCCAGGAAACGGAAGGACTCCACAGAGGTGATGGGGGAGTCCATCACGGAGGGTGGGGGCGGGGGGACAGTGCTCTTCCTGAAGTCCACAATCATCTCCACTGTCAACTGTCTTAGCCCGGACATTCGTCCCCCAAGCCCGACGGCGCGTGCCCAGCAGCTTTGCTCCTGCTGTAGTACACAGAGAAATGAATGGGGTCCTATGGAGGGGGGGGTGACCTCATGATGTCGAGGTGATTATCAATCACAGAGTACCCAATAGTTGCGTTCGCCTTGTCGTTCGCTTTAAAATGAATGGCGAAAAATTTGATATTTTGGAGTTTATTTTTATGGGACTCAAAAAATGCCAGAACAGCGCCACCTACAACAGCCAAAATAATACCCCTATGGGAGTTTTGAAGATCAAGTTTGTCGTATAGTCATGTTCCTCAAGTCATGACAAGAAAAAAAATATTATTATGGCGCCGCCCTCTGACAAACAGGAAGCCCATAAATGTCACTGCAAAATGAACAGCAAAAGTTTTCATACATGTCGGTTGGAAAGCGACTCCTCCTCGGCCGTTTCACCGATTCGCCTCAAAATCGCTCCACATCATCTCAACACATGTACCTTCAAAATGACTTCAGGGAATTTTGATCAGTGAAACGTTGTTTGAGCAGCGGAGCGGCAAAAAGTGGCGTATTTTTTTTCAGTTTTTGACAATAGAAAAATTGCTTCCGTTTGCACAAACAAAGTCTGATTTGCACAAAACTTGAATCCATGGTTCAACTCTTGGGTCTAGGTCGCCACCTACAACAGCCAATTTAAAAATGCCTATGGGAGGGGTTTGCGGTCACAATTGTCGTAGAACCATGTAATTTGGAACACATGTTCCTCAAGTCAAGACATGGAAACATTTTTATTATGGATAAGCCCTCTGACAAACAGGAAGCCCATAAATTTCATTGCAAAATGGAAAAATGAAAAACAATCATTTTCATACACGTCGGTTGGAAAGCGACTCCTCCTCGACCGTTTCACCGAATGGCCGCAAAATTGCTCCAAATCATCTCAACACATGTACCTTCAAAATGACTTCAGGGAATTTTGATCAGTGAAACGTTGTTTGAGCAGCCGTTTTTGACGACATAATTTTTTCTCCCGTTTGCGGCTTTAATTATGAACATTATGAACATTGCATTTATTGTAGGAGGTTAACTGGGCGAAAATAACTGTTATATAGTTATAAACATTGTTATAATAGTCAGTTTACCTGGTCCGTGACTTTCGTACTCTTTACCTGGTCCGTGACTTTCTTACTCTTTACCTGGTCCGTGACTTTCGTACTCTTTACCTGGTCCGTGACTTTCTTACTCTTTACCTGGTCCGTGACTTTCGTACTCTTTACCTGGTCCGTGACTTTCGTACTCTTTACCTGGTCCGTGACTTTCTTACTCTTTACCTGGTCCGTGACTTTCTTACTCTTTACCTGGTCCGTGACTTTCTTACTCTTTACCTGGTCCGTGACTTTCATACTCTTGGTCCAATTCTGGTAAAAGATCCGGGTCAGTGCTGAGGAACCGCTTTGTCCTGAGGCTGAACCCTGGAGCGACTACAGCATCTCCTGTTACAGCTCTGAAAATAACATCTGCTGACGGAGGCCTCGGAGCTGGTCTGAGACCGCTCCCCGAATGGACGCGTCTACAGTCCCCGTTTGGACCCGTCCAGTCTTTGACCTCAAGGCTTCACAACTTAAAAAGAGGAGAATGAAGTCTGGTTCCTATTGAGCTCCAAGTCCATCTCAGTCTGTGATCCATCATTTTGAAACATACTTTCCTCAAAAAAAGCACCATATCATTCATCTTGATAATTCTTTCCTCAGCCCTCACCTTATCTCCAGCTTAAGTTGGTCCAAATATAAATAACTCATGTGGACAAAAATAAACAGCTCTGGGATCGAGTCACAGAAGAAGACAATTTATTTTTAGTAAACTACACGACCAGTTTTGCAGCATGGACACGGTTTTATAGAAGACAAAACCGTTAGCTTGGTTAGCTTTGATAGCTTGGTTAGCTTTTTTAGCTTGGTTAGCTTTCATAGCTTTCAGAAGAAGAAGGTCCTTTATTCATTCCACAATGGGGAAATTTCAGTTTAATACATACACACATACATACATATCAAGGCAAGTAGCGAACATCACTTCCGTGCTCCTTTTTAGAGCTGGACCTACACAGTCACAGTTGGACCTACACAGCCACAGTTGGACCTACACAGCCACAGTTGGACCTACACAGTCACAGTTGGACCTACACAGTCACAGTTGGACCTACACAGTCACAGTTGGACCTACACAGTCACAGTTGGACCTACACAGCCACAGTTGGACCTGCACAGTCACAGTTGGACCTACACAGCCACAGTTGGACCTACACAGTCACAGTTGGACCTACACAGTCACAGTTGGACCTACACAGTCACAGTTGGACCTACACAGCCACAGTTGGACCTGCACAGCCACAGTTGGACCTGCACAGTCACAGTTGGACCTACACAGCCACAGTTGGACCTACACAGTCACAGTTGGACCTACACAGTCACAGTTGGACCTACACAGTCAGTCACAGTTGGACCTACACAGTCAGTCACAGTTGGACCTACACAGTCAGTCACAGTTGGACCTACACAGTCACTCTCAGTTGGACCTACACAGTCACTCTCAGTTGGACCTACACAGTCACTCTCAGTTGGACCTACACAGTCACAGTTGGACCTGCACAGTCACAGTTGGACCTACACAGTCACAGTTGGACCTACACAGTCAGTCTCAGTTGGACCTACACAGTCACTCTCAGTTGGACCTACACAGTCACTCTCAGTTGGACCTACACAGTCACTCTCAGTTGGACCTACACAGTCACAGTTGGAACCTGCACAGTCACAGTTGGACCTACACAGTCACAGTTGGACCTACACAGTCAGTCTCAGTTGGACCTACACAGTCACTCTCAGTTGGACCTACACAGTCACTCTCAGTTGGACCTACACAGTCACTCTCAGTTGGACCTACACAGTCACAGTTGGACCTGCACAGTCACAGTTGGACCTGCACAGCCACAGTTGGACCTGCACAGTCACAGTTGGACCTGCACAGTCACAGTTGGACCTGCACAGTCACAGTTGGACCTGCACAGCCACAGTTGGACCTGCACAGCCACAGTTGGACCTGCACAGTCACAGTTGGACCTGCACAGTCACAGTTGGACCTGCACAGTCACAGTTGGACCTACGGAGTTGGACCTACGCAGTTGGACCTACACAGCCACAGTTGTTCGTTGTAGTTTTCAAGATAATTTTGTAATCCCACTCCCAACCACGTGATGGCAATTTCACAGGAGTTGCCTGAGAAACCAAAGGGTCCCCTTTACGCTGCTACTTTCTCCTCTTCATGTTTGTTGGTCACTTGTTGGAAACATGTTGGACACATGTTGGTCACAGGTTGGACACGTGTTGGACACATGTAGCAGACCTAGGGTTAGCCCTAACCCTAGTCCTGTCTCCTGTGGATCAGGCTCTGAGCCTTGAGCTTTTGCTTCGGTTACTTTGAAGCACCTCAGAACCTCGTCCGTGTTCTGCAGCCGCTCCATAGTTCCATCCAGAACACACACATGGACCAATCACAGCGGACATTCTCACACACATCGACCAGTCACAAGGGACCTTCTCTCACACACGGACCAATCACAGCAGACCTTCTCTCATACAGACCAATCGCAGTGGACCTTCTCTCACACGGACCAATCACAGCGGACCTTCTGTCACACACGCGCAGTCCGTTAGCCTCTACCGCGCAGTCCCTGAGCCTCTACCGCGCAGTCCCTGAGCCTCTACCACGCAGTCCCTGGGCCTCAGTCCCTGAGCCTCTACCGAACAGTCCCTGAGCCTCTACCGAACAGTCCCTGAGCCTCAGTCCCTGAGCCTCTACCGCGCAGTCCCTGAGCCTCTACCGCGCAGTCCCTGAGCCTCAACTGCGCAGTCCCTGAGCCTCTACTGCGCAGTCCCTGGGCCTCTACCGCACAGTCCCTGAGCCGCAGTCCCTGATCCTCTACCGCGCAGTCCCTGAGCCTCAGTCCCTGAGCCTCTACCACGCAGTCCTTGAGCCTCTACCGCGCAGTCCCTGAGCCTCTACCACGCAGTCCCCGAGCCTCAACCGCGCAGTCCCTGAGCCTCTACTGCGCAGTCCCTGAGCCTCTACTGCGCAGTCCCTGAGCCTCAACCGCGCGGTCCCTGAGCCTCTACTGCGCAGTCCCTGAGCCTCTACTGCGCAGTCCCTGAGCCTCTACTGCGCAGTCCCTGAGCCTCTACTGCGCAGTCCCTGAGCCTCAACCGCGCAGTCCCTGAGCCTCAACCGCGCAGTCCCTGAGCCTCTACTGCGCAGTCCCTGAGCCTCTACTGCGCAGTCCCTGAGCCTCTACTGCGCAGTCCCTGAGCCTCTACCGCGCAGTCCCTGAGCCTCTACCGCGCAGTCCCTGAGCCTCAGTCCCTGAGCCTCTACCACGCAGTCCCCGAGCCTCTACTGCGCAGTCCCTGAGCCTCTACTGCGCAGTCCCTGAGCCTCTACTGCGCAGTCCCTGAGCCTCTACCGCGCAGTCAGTGAGCCTCTACCGCGCAGTCCGTGAGCCTCTACCGCGCAGTCCGTGAGCCTCTACCTAGCACCTCCTTACATGACTCCTCCTTACATGGCACCTCCTTACATGACTCCTCCTCACATTGCACCTCCTTACATGGCACCTCCTTACATGACTCCTCCTCACATTGCACCTCCTTACATGGCACCTCCTTACATGACTCCTCCTCACATAGCACCTCCTTACATGACTCCTCCTCACATAGCACTTCCTTACATGACTCCTCCAAATATAGCACTTCCTTACATGACTCCTCCTTACATGACTCCTCCTCACATGGCACCTCCTTACATGACTCCTCCTTGCATGACTCCTTACATGACTCCTCCTCACATAGCACATCCTTACATGGCACCTCCTTACATGGCACCTCCTTACATGACTCCTCCTTACATGGCACTTCCTTACATGGCACCTCCTTACAAGACTCCTTACATGACTCCTCCTTACATGGCACCTCCTTACATGGCACCTCCTTACAAGACTCCTTACATGGCACCTCCTTACATGACTCCTCCTCACATGGCACTTCCTTACATGACTCCTCCTTACATGACTCCTCCTCACATGGCACTTCCTTACATGGCACCTCCTTACAAGACTCCTTACATGGCACCTCCTTACATGACTCCTCCTTACATGACTCCTCCTCACATGGCACCTCCTTACATGACTCCTCCTCACATGGCACCTCCTTACATGACTCCTCCTCACATAGCACCTCCTTACATGGCACCTCCTTACATGACTCCTCCTCACATAGCACTTCCTTACATGACTCCTCCTCACTGTGCACCTCCTTACATGGCACCTCCTTACATGACTCCTCCTCACATAGCACCTCCTTACATGACTCCTCCAAATATAGCACCTCCTTACATGACTCCTCCTCACATAGCACCTCCTTACATGACTCCTCCTTACATGGCACCTCCTTACATGACTCCTCCTTGCATGACTCCTTACATGACTCCTCCTCACATGACTCCTCCTTACATGACTCCTCCTTACATGACTCCTCCTTACATGACTCCTCCTCACATGGCACTTCCTTACATGGCACCTCTTTACAAGACTCCTTACATGGCACCTCCTTACATGACTCCTCCTCACATGGCACTTCCTTACATGACTCCTCCTTACATGACTCCTCCTCACATGGCACTTCCTTACATGGCACCTCCTTACAAGACTCCTTACATGGCACCTCCTTACATGACTCCTCCTTACATGACTCCTCCTCACATGGCACCTCCTTACAAGACTCCTTACATGGCACCTCCTTACAAGACTCCTTACATGGCACCTCCTTACAAGACTCCTTACATGGCACCTCCTTACAAGACTCCTTACATGGCACCTCCTTACATGACTCCTCCTTACATGACTCCTCCTCACATGGCACCTCCTTACATGACTCTTTGCGTGACTCCTCCTTACATGACTCCTCCCCACATGGCACCTCCTTACATGACTCCTCCTTACATGACGCCTTACATGACTCCTCCTCACATAGCACCTCCTTACATTGCTCCTCCTTACATGACTCCTCCTTACATGACTCCTCCTTACATGGCACCTCCTTACATGACTCCTCTTACATGGCACCTCCTCACATGACTCCTCCTCACATGACTCCTCCTTACATGACTCCTCCTTACATGGCACCTCCTTACATGACTCCTCTTACATGACGCCTTACATGACTCCTCCTCACATAGCACCTCCTTACATTGCTCCTCCTTACATGACTCCTCCTTACATGACTCCTCCTTACATGGCACCTCCTTACATGACTCCTCTTACATGACTCCTCCTCACATGACTCCTCCTCACATGACTCCTCCTTACATGACTCCTCCTTACATGGCACCTCCTTACATGACTCCTCTTACATGGCACCCCCTTACATGATTCCTCCTTACATGACCCCTTACATGGCACCTCCTTACCTTCTCTGTCCTTCTGGTTTCTTCCAGCAGACTGGGGTTCTGCTGATCCTGAGGAGGAGGACATGGTGATGGTGCCAAGGCCGACGTCTACCCCCCACTGCCCCTCCCTCACCACAGACCCAGAGAACCAGGAGGAGAACCAGGAGGAGAACCAGGAGGAGAACCAGGAGGAGAACCAGGAGGAGAACCAGGACTCGGACTCGGAGGTGGGCTTCCTGCGTGTGGACCTGAGCTCTCTGGAGGAGTCGTGGTTCGTGACTCCTCCCGCCTGCTTCACCAGAGCTCAGCCGCGGCCCCTGGAACCCAGTCCCCTGGAGAACCTCCTCATCGAACACCCCTCTATGTCCGTGTACCTGCTCCACACCAAGCCACGCCCACACCTGCAGCGAGGGGGCGGAGCCAAGGCCACGACCGGCGTAAAGAAGGAGAAGAGACGGCCGGCGGAGAGCAGGCTCCGGTGAGCCACACGCATTTCAACTGTTTAGACAAACTTTGGACCAATACTAGTCCTATAAAGCTGAGGGACCTAAATCTACCACACACAGTGGAGTTACATACAGCCCTTTAAAGCTGAGGGACCTAAGGCCCCGTCCCAATTCTCACCCTTGCCCTTAAAAAGCACACTTGCCCTAGAGTTTGCGCGTGCCCGCGGGAGTGCAAGGGTGTCCCAATACTTAGGGAGAAGAGACGAGGGGCCTTCACACCCCTAAAAACCACCCTTGAGCGCAAGTGAGGTCCGGAGCTCACTTGCGAGCGTGATCCCATGATGCATTAGGATAGCTCTTGGTAAAATCTCGCCACAATGAAAGAAAACAACATTAAACACCAGCGCGCAAGTTTGTGCGGAACGTAAAGAAGCTCCAAAGCGTGAGTTTTTGGTGCCGTGTGCTGTGACGTTCGCTCCTGAAGCGGCTGCAGCGTGTGGCGTTCACCGAGGCTTCAGAGACGTGGTGCACGTTATTATTATAGATCCATGTTGTAGTGGTGCATGTTATTATAGATCCATGTTGTAGTGGTGCATGTTATTATAGATCCATGTTGTAGTGGTGCACGTTATTATTATAGATCCATGTTGTAGTGGTGCACGTTATTATTATAGATCCATGTTGTAGTGGTGCATGTTATTATAGATCCATGTTGTAGTGTTGCATGTTATTATTATAGATCCATGTTGTAGTGGTGCATGTTATTATAGATCCATGTTGTAGTGGTGCACGTTATTATTATAGATCCATGTTGTAGTGTTGCATGTTATTATTATAGATCCATGTTGTAGTGGTGCACGTTATTATTATAGATCCATGTTGTAGTGGTGCACGTTATTATTATAGATCCATGTTGTAGTGGTGCATGTTATTATAGATCCATGTTGTAGTGGTGCATGTTATTATTATAGATCCATGTTGTAGTGTTGCACGTTATTATAGATCCATGTTGTAGTGTTGCACGTTATTATAGATCCATGTTGTAGTGTTGCATGTTATTATAGATCCATGTTGTAGTGTTGCATGTTATTATAGATCCATGTTGTAGTGTTGCATGTTATTATAGATCCATGTTGTAGTGTTGCACGTTATTATAGATCCATGTTGTAGTGTTGCACGTTATTATAGATCCATGTTGTAGTGTTGCATGTTATTATTATAGATCCATGTTGTAGTGTTGCACGTTATTATAGATCCATGTTGTAGTGTTGCATGTTATTATAGATCCATGTTGTAGTGTTGCATGTTTATTATTATAGATCCATGTTGTAGTGTTGCATGTTATTATAGATCCATGTTGTAGTGTTGCATGTTATTATTATAGATCCATGTTGTAGTGTTGCATGTTATTATTATAGATCCATGTTGTAGTGTTGCATGTTATTATTATAGATCCATGTTGTAGTGTTGCATGTTATTATTATAGATCCATGTTGTAGTGTTGCATGTTATTATTATAGATCCATGTTGTAGTGTTGCATGTTATTATTATAGATCCATGTTGTAGTGTTGCATGTTATTATAGATCCATGTTGTAGTGTTGCATGTTATTATAGATCCATGTTGTAGTGTTGCATGTTATTATTATAGATCCATGTTGTAGTGTTGCATGTTATTATAGATCCATGTTGTAGTGTTGCATGTTATTATTATAGATCCATGTTGTAGTGTTGCATGTTATTATTATAGATCCATGTTGTAGTGGTGCATGTTATTATTATAGATCCATGTTGTAGTGTTGCACGTTATTATTATAGATCCATGTTGTAGTGTTGCACGTTATTATAGATCCATGTTGTAGTGTTGCACGTTATTATAGATCCATGTTGTAGTGTTGCACGTTATTATAGATCCATGTTGTAGTGTTGCACGTTATTATAGATCCATGTTGTAGTGTTGCACGTTATTATAGATCCATGTTGTAGTGTTGCATGTTATTATAGATCCATGTTGTAGTGTTGCATGTTATTATAGATCCATGTTGTAGTGTTGCATGTTATTATTATAGATCCATGTTGTAGTGTTGCATGTTATTATTATAGATCCATGTTGTAGTGGTGCATGTTATTATAGATCCATGTTGTAGTGTTGCATGTTATTATTATAGATCCATGTTGTAGTGTTGCATGTTATTATAGATCCATGTTGTAGTGTTGCATGTTATTATTATAGATCCATGTTGTAGTGTTGCATGTTATTATAGATCCATGTTGTAGTGTTGCATGTTATTATTATAGATCCATGTTGTAGTGTTGCACGTTATTATTATAGATCCATGTTGTAGTGTTGCATGTTATTATTATAGATCCATGTTGTAGTGTTGCACGTTATTATTATAGATCCATGTTGTAGTGTTGCATGTTATTATTATAGATCCATGTTGTAGTGTTGCATGTTATTATTATAGATCCATGTTGTAGTGTTGCACGTTATTATAGATCCATGTTGTAGTGTTGCATGTTATTATTATAGATCCATGTTGTAGTGTTGCACGTTATTATAGATCCATGTTGTAGTGTTGCATGTTATTATTATAGATCCATGTTGTAGTGTTGCATGTTATTATTATAGATCCATGTTGTAGTGTTGCATGTTATTATTATAGATCCATGTTGTAGTGTTATTATAGATCCATGTTGTAGTGTTGCATGTTATTATTATAGATCCATGTTGTAGTGTTGCATGTTATTATTATAGATCCATGTTGTAGTGTTGCACATTATTATAGATCCATGTTGTAGTGGTGCACGTTATTATTATAGATCCATGTTGTAGTGTTGCATGTTTTTATTATAGATCCATGTTGTAGTGTTGCATGTTATTATTATAGATCCATGTTGTAGTGTTGCATGTTATTATTATAGATCCATGTTGTAGTGTTGCATGTTATTATTATAGATCCATGTTGTAGTGTTGCACATTATTATAGATCCATGTTGTAGTGTTGCACATTATTATAGATCCATGTTGTAGTGTTGCATGTTATTATTATAGATCCATGTTGTAGTGTTGCATGTTATTATTATAGATCCATGTTGTAGTGTTGCATGTTTTTATTATAGATCCATGTTGTAGTGTTGCACATTATTATAGATCCATGTTGTAGTGTTGCACATTATTATAGATCCATGTTGTAGTGTTGCATGTTATTATTATAGATCCATGTTGTAGTGTTGCATGTTATTATTATAGATCCATGTTGTAGTGTTGCATGTTATTATAGATCCATGTTGTAGTGTTGCATGTTATTATTATAGATCCATGTTGTAGTGTTGCATGTTATTATTATAGATCCATGTTGTAGTGTTGCATGTTATTATAGATCCATGTTGTAGTGTTGCATGTTATTATTATAGATCCATGTTGTAGTGTTGCATGTTATTATTATAGATCCATGTTGTAGTGTTGCATGTTATTATTATAGATCCATGTTGTAGTGTTGCATGTTATTATTATAGATCCATGTTGTAGTGTTGCATGTTATTATTATAGATCCATGTTGTAGTGTTATTATAGATCCATGTTGTAGTGTTGCATGTTATTATTATAGATCCATGTTGTAGTGTTGCATGTTATTATTATAGATCCATGTTGTAGTGTTGCATGTTATTATTATAGATCCATGTTGTAGTGTTGCACGTTATTATTATAGATCCATGTTGTAGTGTTGCACGTTATTATAGATCCATGTTGTAGTGTTGCATGTTATTATAGATCCATGTTGTAGTGTTGCACATTATTATAGATCCATGTTGTAGTGGTGCACGTTATTATTATAGATCCATGTTGTAGTGTTGCACATTATTATAGATCCATGTTGTAGTGGTGCATGTTATTATAGATCCATGTTGTAGTGTTGCACATTATTATAGATCCATGTTGTAGTGTTGCATGTTATTATTATAGATCCATGTTGTAGTGTTGCATGTTATTATAGATCCATGTTGTAGTGGTGCATGTTATTATAGATCCATGTTGTAGTGTTGCACATTATTATAGATCCATGTTGTAGTGGTGCATGTTATTATAGATCCATGTTGTAGTGTTGCACATTATTATAGATCCATGTTGTAGTGTTGCATGTTATTATTATAGATCCATGTTGTAGTGTTGCATGTTATTATTATAGATCCATGTTGTAGTGTTGCACATTATTATAGATCCATGTTGTAGTGGTGCATGTTATTATAGATCCATGTTGTAGTGTTGCACATTATTATAGATCCATGTTGTAGTGTTGCATGTTATTATTATAGATCCATGTTGTAGTGTTGCATGTTATTATTATAGATCCATGTTGTAGTGTTGCACATTATTATAGATCCATGTTGTAGTGTTGCACGTTATTATTATAGATCCATGTTGTAGTTCATAGCATCGCTTTTGATCCGCGGGACCGCGGCTGTACCCGTCTGTCTCTGTGTGGTACATCTCTGTGCGCGTACGTGTATGTGCCTGTCTCTGTGTGTTTGTACGTATATGTGTCTGCCTCTGTGTGTGTGTGTGTCTGCCTCTGTGTGTGTATACTGTATATGTGTCTGCCTCTGTGTGCGTGTGTCTGCCTCTGTGTGTGTATATGTGTGTATGCGTGAGGTGCATCAGTTCTGTACCTAATTATAGCAAATCTTTATATGAAATAGAATTTCAAAACGTCTTATTTTCATAAAGTCATATCTGTGTCAGATCTCATTTGTGGTGAAAACACACACTTTGATCATGTGTGTGACTTGGAACACGTCTGCTGTGTCATTTGCATATTGTCCCCTAGATTCAGGGGTGTCCCAATTCTTAGGGACAATGTTGTGAGGGCACTCACTACTGGGAAGGCACTTTGCTGGTGAGGGCACTCGCACCTAAGGGCAAGGGTGAGAATTGGGACGGGGCCTAAATCTACCACACACAGTGGAGTTACATACAGCCCTTTAAAGCTGAGGGACCTAAATCTACCACACACAGTGGAGTTACATACAGCCCTTTAAAGCGGAGGGACCTAAATCTACCACACACAGTGGAGTTACATACAGCCCTTTAAAGCTCCATCCATCCATCCATTTTCTTCCGCTTCATCCGTTTGCCGGGTCGCGGGGGCAGCAGTCTAAGCAGAGACGCCCAGACTTCCCTATCCACACACACTTCCTCCAGCTCGTCCGGGGGGACCCCAAGGCATTCCCAGGCCAGCTGAGAGACATAGTCTCTCAGCTGGCCTGGGTCTTCCCCGGGGCCTCCTCCATCTCGTCATTACCCACAGCTCATGACCATAGGTGAGGGAGAGAACGAAGATTGGCCGGTAAATTGAGAGCTTTGCCTTTCGGCTCAGCTTCCTCTTTACCACAACGGTCCGATACAGCTCTGACTGCAGACGCTGCTCCCTCTTTACCACAACAGTCCGATACAGCGACCGCATCACTGCGCACGCTGCACCGATCCACCTGTCAATCTCACGCTCCATCCTTCCCTCACTCGTGAACAAGACCCCGAGATACTTGAACTCCTCCACTTGAGGAAGGACCTCTCCACCCACCTGAAGAGGGAAAGGCACCTTTTTCCGGTCGAGCACCATGGCCTCAGATTTGGAGGTGCTGATTCTCATCCCAGCCGCTTCACACTCGGCTGCAAACCGTCCCAGTGCATGCTGCAGGTCCTGGTTCGTTGGAGCCAACAGGACAACATCGTCCGCAAACAGCAGAGATGAAATCCTGTGGTCTCCGAACCGGACCCCCTCCGGCCCCTGGCTGCGCCTAGATATTCTGTCCATGAATACAGTGAACAGAACCGGTGTCAAAGGGCAGCCCTGGCGGAGGCCAACATGCATCGGGAACAGGTCTGACTTACTGCCGGCACTATGGCATTATGCCGTGGGCGGCACGGTGGCTGAGTGGATAGCACTCTCGCCTCTCAGCAAGAAGGTCCTGGGTTCGAATCCCGGTCGGACCAGGGCCTTTCTGAGTGGAGTTTGCATGTTCTCCCCGTGTCTGCGTAGGTTTCCTCCGGGTACTCTGGTTTCCCCTACCACTAAAAATATGTCCAATAGTTCTAGCATGCGCCTCCTGTACTGGCGACTCTGCTCCCATATCTGTGTGGAGTGAGAGACAAATGCCCAAAATTAACAATTGTAAACCGCTTTGAGACTCAGATCTGCAGTGAAAAGGCGGTATATAAATAAAGATGACTTACTACTACTACTGCCGGCAATGCGAACACAGCTCTGACTCAGCAGAGGACCCCAGACCCCATACTCCCAGAGAACCCCCCCCAAAGGACACCCCGGGGAACACTGTCGAACGCCTTCTCCAAATCCACAAAGCACATGGGGACAGGTTGGGCGAACTCCCATGAACCCTCGAGTATCCGATGGAGAGTATAGAGCTGGTCCAGTGTTCCGCGACCGGGACGAAAACCACACTGCTCCTCCTGAATCCGAGATTCGACCATCGGCCGTAGCCTCCTCTCCAGTACCTTGGAGTAGACCTTACCAGGGAGGCTGAGGAGTGTGATCCCACGATAATTGGAACACACCCTCCGGTCCCCCTTCTTGTAGAGAGGGACCACCACCCCGGTCTGCCACTCCATTGGCACTGCCCCCGATCGCCACGCGATGTTGCAGAGACGTGTCAGCCAAGACAGTCCTACAACATCCAGAGACCTTAGATAGTCAGGACGGATCTCATCCACTCCCGGTGCCTTGCCACCATGGAGGCTGCCAACCACCTTGGTGACCTCTGCCAGGGAGATGGAAGTATCCGCCCCAACATCCTCAGCCTCTGCCTCCGGGACAGAGGACGTGACGGGGGGATTGAGGAGAACCTCGAAGTATTCCTTCCATCGCCCGACAATATCCCCAGTCGAGGTCAGCAGCTCTCCCCCCGCACCGTACACGGTGTTGGCAAAGAACTGCTTCCCCCTCCTGAGGCGCCGGACGGTTTGCCAGAATCTCTTCAAGGCCGACCGATAGTCATGCTCCATGGACTCTCCAAACTCCTTCCAGTCCCGGGTTTTTGCCTCTGCAACAGCCCGGGCCGCGGCACGCTTGGCCTGCCGGTACTGGACAGCTGCCTCAGGAGTCCCCCGAACCATCATGGCTCGATAGGACTCCTTCTTCAGCCTGACAGCATCCCTTACTGCCGGTGGTTACCGCCGGGACCAGCACCAGAGACTTTGCGACCACAGCTACGGGCTGCAGCATCGGCGATAGAGGAAGAGAACATGGTCCACTCAGACTCGATGTCTCTCCCAGGTCCCCTCCTCCTCTGGGACCTGGGAGAAGTTCTCCCGGAGGTGTGAGTTGAAAATCCGTCTGACAGGGGTCTCAGCGAGACGTTCCCAGCAGACCCTCACTACACGCTTGGGTCTGCCAGGTCTGACTAGCTTCCTGCCCTGCCAGCGGATCCAACTCACGACCAGGTGGTGATCGGTTGACAGCTCCGCCCCTCTCTTCACCCGAGTGTCCGAGTCACGCACCAGGACACCCTAGGCCGGAGTGTGTCCTGGTGCCACATGCACTGGTGGACACCCTTGTGCTCGAACGGGGTGTTCGTGATGGACAAACCGTGACTAGCACAGAAGTCCAGCAACTGAACACCGCTCGGGTTCAGATCAGGGGGGCCGTTCTTCCCGATCACCCCTCTCCAAGTGTCACTGGCATTTCCCACATGGGCGTTGAAGTCCCCCAGGAGAATAACGGAGTCCCCGGGCGGTGCACTGTCCAGTACACCTCCCAAGGACTCCAAGAAGGCCGGGTACTCTGCACTGCACAACAGTGAGAGACTTGTCCCCCACCTGAAGGCGGAGGGACGCGACCCTCTCATTCACCGGGGAGAACTCCAACACGTGGCGGCTGAGATGGGGGGCAATGAGAATGGCCACCCCAGCTCGCCGCCTCTCCCCGCGGGAAACTCCAGAAAAGTGGAGCGTCCAATCCCTCTCAAGGAGTTGGGTTCTAGAGCCCAAGCTGTGTGTGGAGGTGAGGCCGACTATCTCTAGTCGGTATCGCTCAACCTCCCCACAAGCTCGGGCTCCTTCCCCCCCAGTGAGGGACCTAAATCTACCACACACAGTGGAGTTACATACAGCTCTTTAAAGCTGGGGCACCTAAATCTAACACACACAGTGTAGTTACATACAGCCTTTTAAAGCTGGGGTACGGTGGCTGAGTGGTTAGCACTCTCGCTTTTTAGCAAGAAGGTCCTGGGTTCGAATCCCGGTTGGAACAGGGCCTTTCTGAGTGGTGTTTGCATGTTCTCCCCGTGTCTGTGTAGGTTTCCTCTGGGTACTTCGGTTTCGGTCTGAGACTAATGCCCACAATCGTAAACCGCTTTGACTCTGGTCTGTGAAACGCGCTATATAAATAAATATTACTTACTTACTATTAGGGTCAGTTTCTGTTATTTACTGGTAAATAGAGTGCATTGCAAATATATCTTATATATATATATATATATATATATAAAATAAATATATATATATATATATATATATATATATATATATATATATATATATGATAGATATTGATCCCCGTAGGATAAATTCAGGTGTCCAATAGGGGCAAAAATAAAAAATAAAATGGATAATTCTAAGAATCTAACGATAGTAATAATCAGCAACAGCCTCAGGTCACAGCAGCAGAGGTGGAGTAGCCTCTGGGTGGAGCAGGACGGGTCACAAGGTGGAGCAGCTGATAGTGTGTTGTGTGTTGTTGTGTGTGCAGGCCTGAGGGGATCCCGCGGCGCCCGTCCTGTGTGTGCGTGCCTGTCTCTGTGCGCACAGACCCGCTGCAGCCACGTCCACCTCTGGCTCTGTCGCGGAACGCTCTGCGCAGACTCAACCCACAGCGCCCCCTGAAGGCCGCCACCCCCCAACTGCACCAGCTGCACCAGCCAGCACATCGCCAGTGCAACTTCTGAGCACTCACCTGCATCGACACCATCACATCTACCACATGAACCGTCAAGACCAAAAGTGCACCAGCCCGCGCAGCTGCTGCCCAGGTGGCTGCCACAGCCCACATGGCAGCCCACATGGCAGCCCACATGGCAGCCCACATGGCAGCCCACATGGCAGCCCACATGGCAGCCCACATGGCAGCCCACATGGCAGCCCACATGGCAGCCCACATGGCAGCCCACATGGCAGCCCACGTGGCAGCCCACGTGGCAGCCCACGTGGCAGCCCACGTGGCAGCCCACGTGGCAGCCCACGTGGCAGCCAGGGTGGCTACCCGTGTGGCTGCCGCAGCGCGTAGCTTCTGTCTTCAGTCTAGACTCCCTTCTCATAAACACAACTGAAATCTGAACAGAGTAAGCCTAAATTCTGGTCATTTGGATCCATCCGTTTCCACATTCTCATCAAGTCTTGAGCCTTGTGTCCACTGCACATTTGTTATGGTCTCATGAAGATTTGGGAATATCCCCTTTAAAAGTGAGACAGGCCCAGACACTGATGTCACAGTACAATGATGTCATAGGCCTGCTTTAGCTTTGGCCAAATTAGCTTTAGCCAACTTAGACTAAGTTGGATACCACAGTCTAACTACAGTCCCATCCCCTCCTCCACACTGTTAGCTTTAGCCACATTAGCGGCTACAGTCCCATCACCTCCTCCACACTGTTAGCTTTAGCCACATTAGCGGCTACGGTCCCATCACCTCCTCCACACTGTTAGCTTTAGCCACATTAGCGGCTACGGTCCCATCACCTCCTCCACACTCGGAGCTGTTAACGCTGGGCGTACAGTTATTCACTGACGACCAAACAATGCCCTGGACACACGGCCTAAATGAGTGAATAAAAAGAGTAATTCTATATTCCAGAACTTACTAATACTCTCTGATATCCATGTTTCCATTCAAGAACATTTCCACACACTTGATACCATTTGAATAAATATTTGGACAACGATTACCTCTGACTTCCCCGATCACCGCAGCCTTATCGGAGCCACAAATCTACTCTCAAAACGTTGCTGGATCTTTTGGACAGTTTCACGTCCACCATTTTCAGGCGTCCTTTAATGCTCGCTCAAAAAGAGCGCTCTCTCGTCCGTCTGCAGAGAAGGTCTCAATGTATTTGTAATGTTTGTTTTTCTGCTTTTTCACCGACACCTTTGTGTAGAATCGCTGTAGGTCACTTTACTCTGAGGCAGGTTCACAGCCGCTGGGGCAGACGTTTACAGAACACAGATTGAGGCCTGGTTTTGTGATGTCAGGACTACATTACCCAGTGTGCATTGGAAAGGCTTACGTTCCAATTGGAAGAGGACACATTCACACTGACTTGGTGTAAATAAGTCTTTAAAACTAACACCTGGACATCTGCAGGGACTGAGAAAAGGGTTTTTGACACTTCTGTGCTAACTTCCTCCTTTCACACTGCTAGGAGCTAGTATGCTAGGTCCACTACTTGCACAGTCCCACAGACTGTAGTCATCACTAACTTCAGTCCCAAACCCTTTGTGTTCTTAGGATTTCTCAAGTATTCACAGATTTCATCAAATTTTTCCTTTTCATGACGGCTTTTTTGAGGCGTCTTTAGTCCCTGTAGACCATGGATCTATTATAATAACTGGATAGGGTATTACAGCTTGTAGCTGAATAACTCATGTGCTCGGGGGATTCTCGCGGTACTGCAGACTAGACCAGACTGAACCAGACTAAATTCACGTGGGCTACCCAGAAATTTTCCCCATAGAACTCAATGCATATTAAAACAGCTCAACCTCAGCTGACAGAGAACCTACAGCTTTAATAAAGGTCGGATTTTGTGGGGATTTTAGTGTCCCTTGTCATCCTGAACTTTTTTTCTTCTTAAATCCTTCAGTTTTGTTTAAATCCACACTTTAGTGCCACAAACTCTGCTCGTCTGGCTCTGGCTCTAACTCCCGCTCTGATGAACTGCTCTGATTGGTCAGAGCGCAGCCCCTCTGTGCACGTGCGTGAGACCCTCTGTGCACGTGCGTGAGACCCTCTGTGCACGTGCGTGAGACCCTCTGTGCACGTGCGTGAGACCCTCTGTGCACGTGCGTGAGACCCTCTGTGCACGTGCGTGAGACCCTCTGTGCACGTGCGTGAGACCCTCTGTGCACGTGCGTGAGACCCTCTGTGCACGTGCGTGAGACCCACACACGCGTGTTTAGCGCAATGCACTATGGGAGATAATACACTGCGCAGAACCGGGAGGACCAGACGATGCCCAAATACAGGAGAGTTTCCCAAAGATCTTTGAGAGTTTCCCATAGATCTTTGAGAGTTTCCCATAGATCTTTGAGAGTTTCCCATAGATCTTTGAGAGTTTCCCATAGATCTTTGAGAGTTCCAGGCGACTTCCGCTAATCTTTTTGGCACCAATGCCGTCACAAAGCGCCACTGAGCACAAACATTCATTTGAATAGGGCGCCATCTTGGATCGCCGGGGCTTGCTGTAGACAGACCGTCGGCCATTTTGAGGCGTCTTTAGTCCCTGTAACAGTCCGTTTGCACTCTCACACAATCTGGTTATTTAGTTTCATGTTTTCTCTTTTATTTAACATTAGTTTCTTGTGTTTCTCTCAAGTCACACCAATGAATAAAGCCACTTGTATCTTAATCTTCTTTAATTTCCCGCCTTCAGACCGGCTCCTGCGCTGAACCTGCCTCTGACGTCATATATTCACTACTTTTCACAATGTTTGTTTGTAAAAGTGTATTAATAATGTTAGATATCTTTACACGTTGCCTTGTTCCAACGGTAGCTTTGAAATCAATAGAAAACTGTATTGTATAAACAAAAAAACGTAATATTTTTTCTAAAAGACAAAAACATATCAGTATGAAGTTTGTAGCCTGTTGCATGGTTCTTGTACAAGTGATTGTTTGAGCAAAATATATTATAAGTTGTTTTTTTATATGTTGAGAAATCTGCAGTCCACTTCTCAGGGTCATAATCACTAACTTTAGGAACATGTGGATTTACTCAGTTTAATCTTTTTTAAAACAAGAACCTTTTAACGTGTGTGTTTTGTAGAATGTGCTTTAGTTACATTTGTTTAAAAATATTTATAAACCAAAAAAGTAGCTACAAACTTAACTTTTTACACATTTTTATTGTTGTATTATGTGGATTCCTGTTGGATAATGCTGAATACTGTGGAAGCGGGAAAGCTGTGAGTGATGTCACCAACACGTTACGGATCTGAGGCCATTTCAAATGAGAATTATCAGAGATTTGATTCACAGCCTTTGCTGTGATGTAAAGGGGCAGAGCTCAGAGCCATACGGCAGAACTAAAACAGAAATGCCGGAGTCGCAGCATATGTCTCCTTTAACTCGCCCCAAATCAGGATAACATGGATTTTAGCAATAGTTAATTTGACTTAAACAAACCTATTTATCTTTTGTCTCCTCTGTATAAATATGGCTCCTTTGCTTCTTATTCTTACTGGATAAACCCGACTCCAAAACAGACAAACTACTATTGGTTAACTTTTAGTTCAGTAGTTTAAGCCAGTTTATTCACACGTTATAATCAAATATTTAGAGTTTTTGGTGATGTTTTTCCAGCTGTGTCGCAAACATCTGTAGCATCAAATAGACTTTTGCTGTAAATATGTTTTAGAAGGGATTTTGTTGTTGTTGTAATTTTATTTTATTTTAATTTGTTTCTTTCCAATGCCTTGAATTGTGTTGGTGGATCACGTGCCTTCCGGGTTCCTTTCGGACAATGCATCCTCCACAAAACTTGAACTTTGATCGGACATTATGCACCGCCGAGTTTTCGATAACCACAGTCAAAATGTAGCAAGAACTTTTTGTATTTGGAGAAAATGGAGATTTGTGGCATTTTAGTCTCACGTTGTTCTGTGTAGTTTTATATGTGAGAGCGTGCAGTTTGCCAAACAGGACCAGGTCTAAAGGTTTGTTTACGCCTGGATCTGTCCTCGTGTGATGTCGGGGCTGCAGGTCATGTGACTGTTCACCTGTGATCTCATATTAGAGCAAAATAAATGAGAAATTGCAATGTCTTCTGATTCTTCTCTTTATGAATCCTCAAGTGAGAGAGGAGAGAGTCTGAGGGTAAAGGAGACAGTAGTGAGAGTCTGAAGGTAAAGGAGACAGTAGTGAGAGAGTCTGAAGGTAAAGGAGACAGTAGTGAGAGAGTTTGAAGGTAAAGGACAGTAGTGAGAGAGTCTGAAGGTAAAGGAGACAGTAGTGAGAGAGTCTGAAGGTAAAGGAGACAGTAGTGAGAGAGTCTGAGGGTAAAGAAGACAGTAGTGAGAGAGTCTGAAGGTAAAGGAGACAGTAGTGAGAGAGTCTGAAGGTAAAGGAGACAGTAGTGAGAGAGTCTGAAGGTAAAGGAGACAGTAGTGAGAGAGTCTGAAGGTAAAGGAGAGAGTAGTGAGAGAGTCTGAAGGTAAAGGAGACAGTAGTGAGAGAGTCTGAAGGTAAAGGAGACAGTAGTGAGAGAGTCTGAAGGTAAAGGAGACAGTAGTGAGAGAGTCTGAAGGTAAAGAAGACAGTAGTGAGAGAGTCTGAAGGTAAAGGAGACAGTAGTGAGAGAGTCTGAAGGTAAAGGAGACAGTAGTGAGAGAGTCTGAGGGTAAAGAAGACAGTAGTGAGAGAGTCTGAAGGTAAAGGAGACAGTAGTGAGAGAGTCTGAAGGTAAAGGAGACAGTAGTGAGAGAGTATGAAGGTAAAGGAGACAGTAGTGAGAGAGTCTGAAGGTAAAGGAGACAGTAGTGAGAGAGTCTGAGGGTAAAGAAGACAGTAGTGAGAGAGTCTGAAGGTAAAGGAGACAGTAGTGAGAGAGTCTGAAGGTAAAGGAGACAGTAGTGAGAGAGTCTGAGGGTAAAGAAGACAGTAGTGAGAGAGTCTGAAGGTAAAGGAGACAGTAGTGAGAGAGTCTGAAGGTAAAGGAGACAGTAGTGAGAGAGTCTGAAGGTAAAGGAGACAGTAGTGAGAGAGTCTGAAGGTAAAGGAGACAGTAGTGAGAGAGTCTGAAGGAAAAGGAGACAGTAGTGAGAGAGTCTGAGGGTAAAGGAGACAGTAGTGAGAGAGTCTGAAGGTAAAGGAGACAGTAGTGAGAGAGTCTGAAGGTAAAGGTGACAGTAGTGAGAGAGTCTGAGGGTAAAGGAGACAGTAGTGAGAGAGTCTGAAGGTAAAGGAGACAGTAGTGAGAGAGTCTGAAGGTAAAGGACACAGTAGTGAGAGAGTCTGAAGGTAAAGGAGACAGTAGTGAGAGAGTCTGAAGGTAAAGGACAGTAGTGAGAGAGTCTGAAGGTAAAGGAGACAGTAGTGAGAGAGTCTGAAGGTAAA